AATAAGGGTTGGAAAACATATACCCGTTCAATGTCTAAAAGGTCAAGACAATAAGGAGTACTTTAGTATACTTAAGTTAAAAATCAATTATAAAGATTCACGGACAATTATTTTTTTTTTAGTATTTTAGAATAAAAATGAAGATGACGTCAGCCCCCCAAATTATTCACATATTTTTCTATCTATACATAAAAATTTAGATTTATTAACCGTAAGTTGTGTATTGAACCCTCCCCCCTCGCCTAATGCCCCACAAATCTTTTAAATACCACTGCTAACTCATTATGTAAAATGTTTCATATATTTTATATATATTTCACAATAGACAAACAAGTACCCGTATTACAAGTTAAAATCTTACTCTGGTATCATATTGTATATGATTGTTCATGTCAAGCATTATATGTTCCTTTTGGGTAAAGCGACGCGCCCGTATTACGTCACGTAATGGCGTCGCGGACAACCAAGGTTTGAGCGAAGTCGTTGAGAAATGTCACTGCTACTGTTGTTAAAAAGGCATTTCAAATCATATGCATTAACAGACATAAAGAATGGTTCCTTTCGAAAGGAATGGTTTGTGTTTTATAATTTTCGATTGAAAATTGATTGCGCGGCAGCCTCGATATATTTTTTTTTTCTTTGGTTGCAAAAATACACTACTTTTCCACTACCACCGATAGTATGCTATATACTATAAATATATATATATTTTTTTCTTTTTGAATACTCCTGCCTTGGTATGAAAATCAAGAGATGCATCAATTATTACACAGAAAATCTACGAGGCTTTAGAAGTGAATGTTAAGGGTCTTTCGGATATGACCTTAAAAACGAAGGTCCCGTGTCACAGTATGCATGGACACATTGACCTTCGGCCACGGTCCTGATGTTGTATATATGTGTATATTTTATTGATAAAGACAACTCATTAGATATTTTCTTCATGTACTTATAATGATTTAGGCATTGTCTAAATATTTTTTTTAGACTTGTTGAAAATCTGTAATTGAAATTTAATTGTTTTGTTTGATCTTAAGAAAGAGCATTACCGCACGTGTTTGTAATTTCTCATCTTGACATCTCTCTCTCCCGTCCCACGGTATCGATGCCATTCGCTTATAATTGTTATCAGATTTATGGTCAGATCTGAGACCAATGTTTCTTTGAATTTGTAATGCTTACTCACACTGTTTCCTGTTCTGTATATTAATGCCATTGAGCTTTTCCCTAATTTTACCACTGTCTTAAAAATTGTTTGATTGGTTCATCTATGAAAAGTGGGTGGAGTTGTCAAGGATGAGACGTGCGTGAGTTTGTCTGTAAGGACACTCTCTTAAAGAAAACCTTTGTGTAAAAAAATGCAGTTTTGTTTTGTACTTTTGGACTTCAATAAATTCTTAACTTTAATCAGGAATTATTATTTTCAAAGCAACGTAACATTACACTGACCAGTTACGTAAAGTTTGGCATAGACCTCATCAAAAGTCTCCAATTGTAAATTTATATGCAAGTGCCTGTTTGTTTATTTGTTTGTGTGTTGTTTAACGTCCCTCTTGAGAACTTTTCACTCATATGGAGACGCCAACACTTGCCGATGGAGAGCTGCAAATTTTGACCTATACTCGGCACTTAGGGCCATTGAGCAGTGAGGGATCTTTTTTGTGCCTGCACCTACTGCAACACGGGACCTCGGTTAATACGGTCTCGGCCGAAGGACCGGTCTCCACTTCCCACAGTGGAATTCGAACCCGCGACGTAAGAATCAACTCCTTATTCCGCGACTCTAGAGCGAACGCTCTAACCACTGCAAGTGCCTGTGACCAAATTACATTATTTTTTTTTTAAAAATATTTTCACCTTTTTTCTTTTATTCTCTTTTTCAAGGTTTTTTTCTGTCGCTGACTTGATTTTTCTTCATTTCAAAAGGGGAGAGTACAGTGAGATGCCAAAAGTTATAATCATTTATTTGATGCGCATGTAACATGGCGCATCCAAGGGATCTTCCGGTTTGTAGTAGCTTAACCTGCATGAAATGCAGGGAGACTCTACCGCATCAATAGAAAAAGCTACCTCACTAGCGAGGCAGAACAAGTCATAACAACACATTTTGTATTTTCAAAAAAAAGGGGGGGGGGATGTTAGACCCACCTTAAACTGTTTTTTAAAAAAATCACGAGGTTTGTAGCGCTAGTAATATGAATATAATGAATATTCATGACTTTTTCCTGCCTGACCCCCCGGTGTCAGTAGATAAACAGAACAGAGACCGGTGATCGATCCCGATCAGAATAAATTACAGGTATATCGATCTCCCAGACACGTGTAGAGTAGACAACATTACGTGACACCGTGTTATGGATGTTCTTCTGTCGAGTGGTTTACCAGTCCTGATTTGACGCCAGATTTATCCATTATAACAGGTCTGTGGCTTTTAATTATTGTTTTCAGAATCAATTTTGATTATCTTGTTACTTTTTATGGTATGTATATTTTATGTTCCAAGTTTATTTTAATCAATTATTTTGTATTATTTATTAATTTTTATTTACTTTTATTTATTTATTTATTTATTTGTTTATTTATTTATTGTTTGGCAACAATTGGTATTCTTATACTTAACGATTTTCTTAATTAATATTTGGTAATTATTATCAAAAATTAATGACATCTTTTTTATTTCAATATACAGACAGGTTAAACACATTTATTCGGCATATATCTACGAAGTGGTAGAAACATGGGCGTTAAACTTCAGTGTTTATTAACCTTCGGTCCTATATAATTCGAATGGTTTTATCATCATTAATTCACTGACAATGTAACAGAATACACCTAATATATTTTTGTTTCAATTTGTTGACATTTTTTTTAATTAATTCATTTGTTTTATTTGTTCCTTTCTTTTTTATTTGTTAATTTATACATTCATTTATTTACTCAATACTTGATATTTATTTTTTTCCTACAAGTTCTTTGGAGATGCATGGAAGTAAAATATTTAATTTGCTATTCATCTAATATACATGCTATTATTGAATATCTGAAAATAAAACATAAAATCTCTTTTATAACACCCCCTTTTCAAACTTTGACAGAAATGATTTTATCCTGTTATCCAATATCAATCTTAAAAGCCATATTTATCACCAATCAGATTTTTATGATTACAGCTTTACCACAGGTACTTGTGGTCAGGATCGGACCCCCCCCCCCCCCCCAAATATTGAAACCCGCGGCTTGTTGGATGTATGTTTCTTCACAAATTATATTTATTTCATTTATCATGAATTGTTTACCATACGAAAAAAACTTGAAAATAATCGTTCAAAACAAAACATACTATACATTACAACAGAGAAATATGTGCCCCTCTGTTTTGTCTACATAGTATGTTTTGTATGGAACGATTAATTTAGGCTTTTTCCCGATTTTTTTTATATGGTAGGCATGATAAATACGTGTAATTAAGAAACTTGGTAAAAAAAAAAAAGACCCAACATGGTCTGGGGTGAATATTGGCCGGGGGGGGGGTTTCCTGTCTACAAGTACCTGTGAGCTACAATGGTTTGTACACAGGAGTAGTATTGGGGAGTAGGGTGTCTGCCCCCTCCTTTTTTTCCGGAGAAAAGCCCTTAATTTTCTTTTAATTAGCGTGAAATTTACATTTAAAGACTGCTCGGCCCCAATTTTTTCCTTTTCTATTCGATATTTAGTTTGGCATTTTTGCGAGAGTTTCATCATTTTTTTTTTTTTTTTTTTTTTTTTTTTGAGTACACCCCCTTCCCACCCCCGGAAGAAACAACGATACACGTCTCTGTGTTAATTTAAATGTATATTCTCCAATATAATTAACAACAAAATTACCAGTTATCAGGTTTTATAATTATTTGATCATGAAAGTAGAATTCAAGTCAACCTTGTTCTTAACTAATTAACAATTCCACCGTGCAATTGCACGTGCGACAGTCGGTGAATATCACGAGACTCGTGACAGACTCTCCTCGTACCATAAAATATTTATAAAAAATGTAAAGTGACAATTAAGATGATAAGTAGACGTGTTTGTGTTTACCTGTCTATGTCAGGTCCAACTGCGTAAAGGGACGTCCGGGGGGGGGGGGGGGGAAGGGGGGGGGGAAGATAAGTGAATTTTTTATTCAAACACAAAGCGTTGATTTTAACTTTAAGGAGAGAGAGGATGGGGTGGAGTCGATTTGGGACATAGAACCCTCGCAAGGTCTGTTTAAAGGACCGTAATGTACATTGGTATTGTGTACATTGGTATTGAATGATTTACTATTTTTAGAAGAATGCAATCCATCATATAATCTTAATAAAGGTAACGGTTTACTTTTTTTTCGGGGGGGGGGGGTGTCATTGCACTAGGCAGCTTTTCGTTTTGAAATAAATTTAAAAAAATCTATATATTTAAATACAATAATATACTCGTGTAGCGAACTGTGTTTCATTAAATGCAACATATAAATATTATGAATTTGTGAGACAGAATTAAGACATAATAAGTGTTTATGTTTTAGTAAGTAAAGACCGACATCCAGGAAAATTGAAATTCGCAGAATGTCCCTGTAAATAATTGCTATCACTCTAAATGACATTTTTTAACCTGCGTAATAATCATATGCGTAGAGTCTTTTTCATCTTCACCAGTGTAAGTTATAAAACATGCATTTGCATGGTTCCTGTCGTTAAAAAGAATTAAAAAATGATGGAAATGATAAATCGAAAACTTGACGTTCAACATTGCTTATATGTGTACACGAACCTGAATTATGTCACCTTTGCTAATTTAATTCGGGACCTATCTTAAAAATCACAAGGCCACTAATTTATTCATTAATTAATTTATGCATTAATTAATTTAATACAGTACTTTAAATATTTGACGTTGAAATAAAACATTATGTTTTACTAGACGGTGAGAAAAAAAAAACACTTATCATATTTTAAATCGTTTCTTTTTTTATAAGGTGGTTTGAAGAGTGTTCAGAGAAATCTCTGGATAAAGAACGAGGAATGGAGACTGGGCAGACTCTGCTGTAACAGGAAAAGGAACAGGAAATCCTCCTCCTCCTCCTCCTCAAAGCCTCAGATAAATCCACTGCACTAGATTTAGCCTAATCGCAGAAACAAGTTTGAACAAGGACTTTCTGAAAAAAAGGTGAGTTTTGGGTTTGTTTTTTGTTTTTTGTTTTTGTTTGTTTTTGTTTTGTTTTGTTTTGTTTTTTGTTTGTTTGTTTTGAGAGCTGATGGAATAGATACAACAAGGTTTTCTTCAAACATTCTTTTTTTCTGTTTTGATAGTACAAGCGTACAAAATCAAGAAAGAGGAAAAAAAGGTAAACAAATCCCCAAATCATTGTTCCAGACATTTTGCTAGTGAATCAAAACGGACGTAGCTTGTTTTTACGAAACTTTGGGAAAATAATGATGCTGTTTTCACTTTCGATTCTTTCTTTGTTAACAGGTAAGTTTTTAATTAATTTTTTATTAAGCTTCTAAGCCTTAGCTGATATTCTCTATATAATTGAACTTGCTGGTTACTCTTTTGGTGTTATGTTCCGACAAGTATATTTCACTTTTGAGTTGATCAAAATACCTTATCAAATTCCAAACGACCGTAGATTAAAAATAAAACTTTCCGGGATAGAGAAATATAGAAGTTCTTGTTGAATAAATTGTCCAATTTCAGCAACACATAATGAACTTGTAACATCCGCGTTTACCCTGTGCTGGGCTGATAGAGGATCGTCTAATGTTCATATAATTGCGGCCATTAGGGTAAAACTATCTCTGGCGGGCACGCTTTCTATGTATATATGTTTTTATTTAGAATCGATGCAAGATTTTATTCATAAAAAGATGACCAAATAGTGTGATTTAGATACGTATTTTTCTTTAGGGGAAAAACTTGTACTCGATGTCATAATTATTAGTACATACATACATAAATAACAAATACCATAACAGTGCAATTTAAAAGAAACGGAACGTCCCATTAATCATAATAATTACACAATCTTTTGGATACATTTATATAAGCAAATAATGATATTATATGCTTATAATCATTTCGATGTTGGAGGGGATGCATTAACGCGCATGTGTGTGTCTGGTTTGGTGAGTTGGTTAGTTCGTGCGTAACTTTAAGTTTCGCAAATAATAATTTAAGTCGGGATCGATATGCTCATTTGCGAGGGGATGCTCCTCGTCGCAGCGCCCTTGCTCAAATCAACTATGGGAAGTAGAAAAAAAGACAATGTACGAGAATGTTCGGCCAGGATACAAAAATTTACTCAGCTACTTCTCGAATATTTTATATGGATCAAAAACAAATAAATTCATCAAACTATCCCTTCCTACTTCTGTTGAAACTGAAGTACTGCACATTGGTAAAATTGAAAAAAAAGTAACTCAGAATTTGGAGAAGTAAACTTTGTTATTGACTTCAAGGAGTTAATGAGAAGAGAAAGATACATAGTGCCCAAACTCTGCATGTAAACAAGTGGCGAAATATGTAATTAAAATAATGCATAATGTCATAAGATTTTAGCATAAAGCCAACTAGATGAAGGCAAAAAATGAATCTCCTGAATATATTGACAGATCATAACCAAACGTTAATCAATATTTTAATTTGAATAACCAGATTTACAGTAATGTAATTTAATGAACAAAATAAGACAAGCGTGAAAGAAATAATCCATCTTTAGATTATACATGGCTTGTCACTTCTGTTATATGATTAATGTCAAAAAAGGTGATTAACATACATAAAACAATGTACATACCTTATATATACAAGTACGATAAAGGGATTTAAGGTTCATTGACCATCTGATAAGAGGGATAACTCGTACTTGTATAGGAACAGTGACTTTAATTCCTTTGTAAAATAGTCACGTTATATAAAAGACGTAAATTTTGGTCCGCAAATTACGCTGCAATTGCGTGCATATAACATATTTTTTATTTGGACTATCATAAGCTTTAAAGCATTTTTTTTTATTTTAAGCAAAATGAGAAAGCAGAGAAACAATCAAACGTTAAATTCAACTGACTTTATTTTGAACTATGTTTTCCTGTAATCACGAGGGTTTAATTTTTAGTCCATAAAATCTGAATTCAAGAAAACTAAAGTATACAATACAGGAACAGTTTTGAGACAAATTGTTATTAGAAATGATTCTTTTATATCGATTTGAGAGGTAACTCTCTTTTTCAAGATCTGTTTATGCAGCTGCGCCAAAATGAAAACTTGTTTTACTGGAACATTTAAAATCTTTGTTTTCCTTGTCCAGATGTAACTTCCGGTTTTTGTCGAGATGGTTTTGCGCAGGTGCAGAACTGGTGTTTTTCTTTCAATCTTCAACCTGTAGGAATGTATGACACATCACGTGAGTGTGACCGACAGGGGGCGGGACTTGTTACTCTGGACTCAGCTCAAAAAGAAAGGGCATTAACTCAGTTCATTGAAGGTGAGGTTATTTGTAGAAATATGAATCCAATAAGTTGTCATTTAACGCTGAAAATATCTTTTTGTTTTTAATAATGATCATCATTTTTCTGAAACTTAAGATTGAAAGAACACACTCTAAAATCATTCACTTTTCCGATTACATGAACATGAGACCTTTTTATCATTCACTTTTGTCAATGACAATGAAGTCTATATAATTCATTTCATTGTTTACAAGGAGTTGTACCAGTGTATCTGATTTATTTCGACGCCTTAATTTTAATCTAGTAGACAAAACTTTCAACATATATCAATATTGCAGTCGAAAACTTTCAATTTGAATGAGAATTGTTAGAATATTATTTTCACACTGAATTTAAGATGCACACGGCGGGTGTGACCGGTTGGCAGGGGATGCTTACTCCTCCATGGTACCTGATCTCATCTCTGTTTTCAGAGGCTTCTGTTGGCTCTGCTCATAATTTGTATTGCTGAAGGTATTCCATCCCTAATAGCCTCAGATACAATGAATTTGAATACATAACAGATGTGTACGGTTGGAATACTCAGTATATTTAGACATAATTTCCATTCATTACTATAAGCATGTAAGAATGGAACGTGTCCTAATTTATGACCTTGACCTTTGTTGAAGAGTTATCTCTCTCTATTTTTAAGTAAGAAAATCAATTTTAAAAAATCTATACGATAAAAAAAATGTTTTCAATTGTCATTCTATTTCTAATGATTTAATGCATCTTTCCACCACAGTATTTATTGATATTCATATTATTTGAATTTTTATTTTAAAAAATCGCGTGTCTCCATAGACTTCAATGCAATTTCTGTTAATTAATTACTGCTTTGTTAATTACATTTTTGAAACTTTTTTGAAACTTTCTTTTGGTTAATCCTTTCCTACTGTAAAATGCTTTGAATTAATATCAGAGTATTATATACGTGATGGATGTATAAGGATAGAGAAGTAGGTCCTATTAGGGATGGAAAACATTAAATGGACTTAAAGAATGATCACTATTTGTTATCTTTACATTTCATTGAGTTTTTTGTTTTCAAGAGACACAAGGATTGCACAGTATCTCTTGAAAATTTGGGAAAAAAAATAAGGAACCCAAGTTTGAGATAAACCAGTTTTTTAACTTGCACTGGTTTCATGTATAGATCCTATATTTCCCATAATCCTGTCCGTCAGTCCTTTGATTTTTTTTTTCTCTTTTCCAGATATGAATTTCTTTGGCCTTCAACAGGATAGAAGTGTAAGTCGTTCATCTTATAATATGTCAATCTTATAATAGGTAAATCTTATAATACGTTAATCTTATAATACGTAATTCTTATAATACGTTAATCTTATAATAAGTAAATCTTATAATACGTTAATCTTATAATAGGTCAATCTTATAATACATTAATCTTATAATACGTAAATCTTATAATACGTTAATTATCATATGTTTATCTTATTATACGTTAGTCTTATAAAATTGTAAACTTATAATATTTTAATCTTATGATACACTAGTCTTATAAAACGTTAATCTTAAAATACGTTAACCTTATAATTCGATTATCTTATTATCCGTTAATCTTATATGTCATTCATCTTATAATACGTTTATCTTATAATCCGTTAATATTATAAGTCGTTAATCTTATTATACATTAATCTTATAATACGTTGATCTTAAGATGCGTTAATCTTATAAAATGGTAAATTTATAATACGTTAACCCTATAGTACAATAATCTTATAGTACGCTGATCTTTAAAATGTTAATCTTATAATATGTTAATCCTATTATATCTTAACTTTCTAGTACGATGATCTTATGATACATGTACATTAATCTTATAATACGTTAATCCTATTATACTTTTGTCCAATAATACATTAATCTTATAAAAAGTTAACTCTTTAAACCTTAATCTTATAATTATTTATCGCGTTAATCTTAAAATATGTGTCGTTTTTTATCGCTGTAAGACTATTCCCTAATTGGGAATGGCTTAATGACGAGTTATTTTTTTCTATATCATTAAAAACACAGATGTCTCTGAGTTTTAGAACCTAGAATAATAAATTTAATTAACTGATAAATTCAAATACTGACGCTAATTGTGTATTTACCAACTGAATGCTAGAAATATCATCAATATTTAGAAAGAAAAATGTTTCTTCATTTTTTCCGTCTAGTTTTAAATGAATGTTCTCCTTTAGTGCCGGTCCAAGGTTGTTTCCGGTACGTAATTAACAAACGCTTAGGTAATCATTCCCAAATTTATTCATGGTATTAAAAAAACCGACTCTGATTCCATATTCCTTCAATGAGGAAACAGCAGTAATTTATTCAATTCTTCCAATATTCATTAATAACTGCACGCTTTCAACTGCACAGTTTTGTTTTTTTATTAATTAACTCAATAATTCAACAGTATTAATCATCATACTGATTGAGGACACTGTTAAAATTAAAAATAAATAAATGACGAGCATATGAAAGGGTCCTATTGCATAAAATACTGTTTATCATATTAACTACTGACTTTCTACATAAGTATTTTGTTTAAAATCTATTATCCCCTCCAAACAGTGTTGCAAGGGGGAGGGGGGTCAAAATTCCGCACATAGGACTATTACAGTGTTGTGGCTATGATATTGTATTTAATTTGATAATTTAGGCTCAGGCTTGCTAGAAAGTAAGAAGTAACAAGAAATTAATCTAAGGGTCAAAAGGTCAATGGTCAAGGTCAGAGTTTCTGTGAATCATAAACACTACTGTCGACAAAATGTAACATAAATTGCTGTTTAGTCTCACTCTTTATCTAGGGAAGTGGCAGATTACCAGAGGGTCAAAACATAAAAAGACCAAAGCTCAAAAAAGTTTCCATTGGAAATGTGGTTACAATATATAGGACCAATGGAACTTTAAGCTTCTTTATAATTGTGACAAACTCGTAGAATGCAGGGTGGCCTGGGGACTCCCCCCACCCCTCCCTTTCACATTTTTCTGAGTATAGCATTTTACTATAGTAAAGTCTCCTTTGGATGCAGGTTGCCCCCCCCCCCCCCTTGCTTTGTTGCTGTAAGTTCGAGCACTGGCAAAGTCGTGGATTTGGACGGTTAACTGGTTTTTTTTCTTGTAAGATTATTTTTGGAAGTTGCCCCTCCCGCCCACACACACTTTTTGGATTGTTGAGGTTTTTGTTTTGTTTTGTTTTTTGTTTATTTTTTGGCCTGTCAGATATTTTGGAGAGCCCCTCCCCCCCCATTTTTGATTTGAAACCGTTGCTACGGGCCTGGGTGAAAAGGGTAAAGATGAAAGAGGCCAAATAATTGAAATTTAGATATACATGTATGTTTGGTGTAAATAAAAGTGTAGAACTCATTCAGAGGGTATCTTTTGATCTCTCAGTCTCATGCCGCAGGGGTACAAGATGGACTGCGCAAGAAATTTATTGATTGCGGAGCCAAAGGTCAAAATATAATTCAGCAATAAGTTTAAAAGTAGTATTATATGTAAATTAAAATACACAGTGACTGTATTTTACCATTCGCTCTCATACTCGTCGAACAGATATGCTTGACGTAAAAAAAATTAAAAATTAAAAAAAAAAATGAAAGAAAAGAAATAATACTCGTTGATTCTAATGCCCAAGATCAAGAACAATGATATTGTTAACAACAGATCAGTTCATCGTGTATAAACTACAATCATGTCGGAAGGAAATGGGGGGAAATGGTCTGTTTTGCCGTGCCCTTGTTATTGAAAAGCAGAGAACAGGAGGGAATTAGAACCTTTAATAGACGTAACTCTTCATTTAAAGAATGGCATATGGTAAGGCTCCATCCTCTAAGGTGGACCCAGCGCCAGTGCGCCCGCCCCGCCCCCCCCCCCCCCTTCCCCGTTTGATTTTTTTTTGTTGCTGACATTTTGTTGATCCTAAAATCAAGGGAAAAAACACCTCTCATTTGTAAAAATTCGTCAGTTTCCGGGGGCCACCGGACCCCCACTAGGACTTTACCCTGGACACGCTGGGGCTTCAATTCAGCCCCCAGAACCCCTACCTTCTACTGCACCCCCTCCCGCGTTATGAAATTCCTGGATCCGCCGCTGATCTTTATAAATGTGACAAAGGCATTTCTTACTGATTTGACTTTTATCCAGAATTTTATTTTCGAATTATCTCTCTTGTTTTAGGCTCTCCAGCGATCTCTCGAAGAACTGATGAACACCGACAACGACGCAGCCGCATGTAAGTATCTACTTCCGGTCTTGAAGGATACTGTATTCTGGACTTCGTATACTGTATTCTGGACTTCGTATACTGAATTTTTTCAAAGACATACTTGATAGGGGAGGGGTTATAAGTATTACTCTTAAGATAGTATTATTTGTTGCAAATTGCAAAATAATTATGATTTTTTATCTTTTTATTTTTGCAAATCTTTGTAAACGCTTAAAACTTGATTTAAGTATACAAGTATTATCTTCGTCATACTGTAGGTAGCAGACTTTAATCAATTTTGTTTGTTTATTTATTTGTTTGTTTGTTGTTTTTTTTTAAGAAAATCATCCGGACCAATTCATCCGTTAAACGCCAAATTACACAACCTAAGCGAAATATGTAACGTCGTTAAATCAACCAATCAAAGCGTTAGAGGTTAATCAACCAATCAAAGCGTCAGACATTAAATCATGTCATCTTTTTTTGTTTCAGTTTGCGAGGACTATAAAAAGAACGGAGAAACATCCAAGTCGTACACGTTTATCCCTAATGCAAAGGTATATGGAAAGGTTTTATATAGGCAATGCCTGCAGCCTAACTCATCTAGCATGCCTTTTAAGTTAATAATAGAATACATGTAAATACATGTCCGAATCAAAGCTAGAGGTATATTGTTTAGGTAACAATATTTGTTTAATATTTGATCCCTACCACATTTGGTTATTGATTTTTTTTGGGGGGGGGGGGCATTCTCTTTTTTAAATTAATATAATCTTATAACGGTTTGTTGTTTTGCTCCTCATTCCAGATCCCGCTGGGCTCTAACCCGGAGGATCGCGCCAACCACACCACCCCAGAGGGGTTCCGTATCAAGCTGTCCACGATCCCGGGGGCTGGATTCGGGGGATTCACAGAGGGGTTTGTACCGAAACACACCATCATAGGAAGTTACGAGGGACTCATTCACACCAACCACAAAGACGATGACCTTTACTCCTGGCAGGTCAGAGGTCAATCTTCTACAATCTGGTTTTCTGACTTATTCACCTGTTCTTATTTTTAATAGTTAGATGATATTTAGCAAATTCTATCGATTAAGACGGGTTAGGGTTGTAGGGGGTGGGACACAAACCTTTCTTAAACGCTTTAATTTGATTTCTTATGATCTATATTATTTAGAACGTATAATCCACTTCTTCATTGTCCGATTCAAAGTTCTGCCATAATGGCACCTTTTTCTCTTTCGTATTCGTTTCAAAAAGCTGTCGATTAAAAACTCAATTGAATGTGAACATAGAAAAAGTTTAATAATTAAGTGAATTTCCTTATCCAAATATTTAGCAATTGCTGATTGGATGAAAAAGTGGGCTGTGGTTTATGTTTCTTGCATAATTAATAAGTTCTAGAACACACATTTCAGCAGATAATTAGATTATGCTTTTTACTTTCCCAAAATTATTCATTATATGACAGACTATCGTTGTATTTTGCTAAAAAAATGTTGTGATAGAGTATATAAATATGCTTTTTTACATAAACATTACATTGCATTATTTTTATACATTACATTACATATGTATTATCATAACAGTAACTTGATATCCGAAGAGCTGTATCACGCCAAGCGTCCAGTTTGATCTGATGATCCGCGCCTGTCAACGAGATGTGATGCAGCTCTTTGGATCAAGTTACTGTTATAATGATAAATTTATTATATACCCCTCTACAACTAGCAAAATATAATAAAAGGAAACCTTTTGGATCAATTACATAACTTTTATCCATTAAACAAACCAATTTGTCAAAGAACTTTTTGATGCGCGGGAATAAAAACGTCATTTATGTATACTACGTTAAACCATAGTGTGGTGTTCCGGAACGTCGGATTACACCGTCAAGTGATTGCATAAATTCAACAGTAAACCCGAATGGCAAACAGTTGGGTATTTAGTACAGTAAATTACGTTACATTACAGACAGAGAAGGTAGGATCGGAGGGTATGTACGTCATAGACGCCGGAAATCCGGCCAACAGTAACTGGTTACGGTGGATCAATTGTGCCGGAAATGTGGAACAGGAGAACGTAATAGCTGTGTCGTGCGCAGGCCTGATCCTGTACATGACTACTAGAGATATTTATCCCGGAAGTGAGATGTTTGTCTGGTATGGTGACGGGTACGGAGATTATCTCAAAATCAGCCGAGTTCACCCAGGTATCTGATTTCTAGGAACATAGGTTAATTTGAATTTAAATAATATGCCCGACGGTGAAACCGTTAGGGCGAGCGCAGTTCATTTTCTATAACTCTACACATCTTCTCACATGTCGTTTTACATTCTGCTCATTACACTTTTATCGCGTGTTTACTGTGTGTCGTTCATATTTTTTTTTTGAAACCGTTATTGAAGTATATGCAGACTTCCCATGCATCGGGATCGAAATTTCTAACTTCTCGGATATTTCCGACAAAATCAGAAATAACCGACTCGTTTAAGTGACGAAAATATGACGTCACATACAAAGTCGTGTGTACCAAGGACACAAACGATAGTTTTGTGGCCAATTATGGCATGGAAATTGAATTAAATCGTTGTTTATTATTTTCATCAAGTAAATTGTTGCTATGCTTAAGCCACTATGTTGCTATGCACCGCAAAGGATTATTGGGAGTATGGAATATTTTCACGTGGGACGATAAAAATTTCTTTGAACAATGTGCAGATATCAACCCGAATTTCCTCCGTTCGTACACGTTGTCTATGGAGCTCGCTACGCGAGCGGCGCTTCGCGCCGCCTCGCTGCGCTAGCTATTATTTTTAAAATTAATAGGTTAATTTGAATTTAAACCTTGATTTATATCAGCATCATTTAATTACTACGAGAGTTTTTAAAAAAAAAATATCCGGAAAAAACCTATTCACATCACACAAAAGTTAAAGAATTTTTTGAGATTGTAGAGATTGTAGAGCCAAAGATTAATTTGATTTTTTTCTTAATTAAACCTGTAAATTGCAATTTAACTGTCACTTTAAATGGAATTACGAGAACTCACATTTATGAACATGCTAAACCAATCCTTTGTGGTTAGTTCCTTCCTTTTTAAAACGTCCATTTTTATTTTTTTTTTCGGTTTAATGTCTTTTCATTTCTTTGTATAATTCTAGAGTCGGATCTACAAGGGATTTTTAACATCCGGGTAAACGTCCTCTCGTTTGATGAGGAGGACCGAACGATCTACAACGACGGAAGTCCCGTCACATACATGAACTGGATACCGGAAGCAGCGTCTGACGTTGTCGACAACACATTTGGCCTCGTTCTGATGTACAATGGAAGCGAATGGAAATGGTTTCCGGAGAAGGACTATCGATATTTTACCGGACCGGAAGGACTACATCTTCCATATGTATGTGAGGATAGAACAACTTACAATGAGGATGGCGTTATCGATCCTGATTACAGGGATTATGAGACAGGGGACACGACTTCAAGTCACATAGACTCCGAAATTTTAGCTGAAGGCGACATGAAGCCATTAAAAAGTGAGGATCGATTAGAACCGGAAGTAGTGTGTGATGGTTCAGTGTAGAGTCTTCTTGTGTTTGCTTAATTTATTTTGTTGGTTATGTTCTGGAGAGAAAGAAAGTGTGACAGACACAGAGAAAAAGAATGAGAGTGAGAGAGATAGAATGGATAAGCCAGAGGTTGAGTGAATGAGCGAAAGAGAGAGAGAGAGAGAGAGCGTTTTATTTATTTTTTGAAATATGTTATTTCATTTTTTTTAAACATAGAACTGTGATTTATTTTAAAGTATTACACTGGACATTTTTAAAGGAAGACATTATTCTTAACATTATTAATTCTTTATTTATATATAAATATACATGTACATGTCTTTGTAATGAAATAAAATTTACCATATAATAACTAGCAAAAAGGGACCAAGGATCAAGGAATTTCAGCGTTTTTTAGTCCCGTCTTAAAAAAATATTTTAATGTCGATATGAAATCATACGCAGTATTAATTGCTATGAGCTTCAGGGTGTTCTGGCTCCATCGTATTCTCACATTTCACTTTCAGACAAGATTAACACAGTGTTCAGTATTTATTCAGAATCTCGGAAATCCATGTCTTTTTTAGACCTGATTGACATGGCGTTTAGTGTCATAATTCCGAGTTATATATAATGCAGGAAAGGGGCGGGTCAAAGCAAGGTCGCCTATTTGAAATTGTTTGAAAAACTATACATTTAAAATATTTACCCCATGAAGACAAAGGACTGGCCAACAAAATGTAGAAATTCTTAAAGTTATTCATACCTTTTTTTAAAGAATGTGGTAGATTTTCTAAACAATCTTAATTTTTATATATAGAATTATATTTTGAGTGTCAAGAATTTTCAGTCTTTAACACTACTAACTGATTTGTTACTGAAAATAATTGTACTTGTGTTAGGGATGCGCGATTTAATCGATATACCGGTATATCGCGATTTTTTATTGCGTGATACGTATATATCGTGATACGGAGTCTAAAATACCGGTATTTGGTACATGATTATAAATTCCAGAAATTATTGATTTATTTCTTCGAACTATTAAATAAAATTACAGGGAGTCTAAAAAATGTTGAAAAAAGTGAAACTACGGCATCCAACTACGGCCTTTTATCACATGTATATAAATAAAAATGAAAAAAAGTGAAGTTATGTTTTTACAGCGTATTTGTTTTAAAGGAAAAAAATTACAGAAATTCATTTGAAATTGTAGTAAAAATTCCCTGTATTTTTGGGGGGAAATCGTGATATATCACGATACGAAATTTTTGGCGGTACCCATCCCTAACTTGTATTATGGCTATTTTATAAAATTCTGTATGAGGAGAAGACTATATCTTAGTTGTAGAACTTGTGTCTTATCCTTTTGACTTAGACACTAGCATATGTTCAATTCAAAGGGCGTGAATGGTCGACAGGGGATGCTTACCCCTCCACGGCACCTGATCCCATCTCCGTTGGTTTCTTGGGATCCGTGCTTGCTCTGCTCCCTTTTTGTTTTGTTTATTGGATTATTGACCTTGTTTACTCTTCAGTAAGCATATATTTACTTCAATATGTGATAAGCGGGACAGAATTTTTTTTACATTTACAAAATCTGTAAAACAATAGCATTAACTACCGTGTGGTGATACGTACTGACGTGTCTGCACTACAATCACGATTACCTGTATTCACCTGTGTTCACCTGACTTCAGGTGTGTTAATTACCATCGATCATGTCCGACTTCAACCAGGAACGGAATTACACGGAATCAGTACAAGACAAGTCGGCCATAGCGCCAGTTGGTTAATTAGCCTTAAAGTAATTAATCTTTATCAATTATGAGCTTGAATTTTTATTTATGCAATGGACAGAATTACAAAAGGAAATGATCTCTCATTTTATCAAAGATTCTTATGGTAATTAATGAATTGAATAAAATTGTTATGTAGATTAAATGCAATTTTTTGCACTTCAAACCTGATTGCAAACACACTGCAGTCCTATATAAGACATGCGAATTTTTTTTCCGTGTAAACAGACCACGTGTTAACCCTGGCTTAGACTAAACCATGAAAGGAAATGATTAAGATATCAAAGAACTCTTTTTCTATATTCATCATAATTAATTCAATATACGTGCATTTGTTTATCGATGCAGACAAAGATGTCACAAGAGGGCGCTGTTTCGAAGCTGACAAAGAGTGACCTATCTATGTCCCACAGTTCGTGTTAATGATAAAGAGCTAGATTTTTTCCTTGTCTTTATTCAATGAGAATGCTTAGTCGACATTTTGTTCCATGCCAAGCTAGAATAATTGTATGTTTAACTGAACAAAACACGGAAAACTTTTGAATAAGAAATGAAACGCACGATTTGAATTATTTCTCTGCATACTACTAGCATATTATGGTTGAGAATGAACTGTTAAAAAGATATTTTAAAAATATTTTCTGTAAACGTCATTTTTTAAGAATATCTTCTATTAATCGTATTTTGCCAATGATTCCGAAACATTCTTTTCGCAAATAATATTTTAGCACTGACTCGGTTCTTCTGCACTGGATTCGACACAGTCGTATTTAAGCACTGATTTAGAAGCAGTCGTTCCTTTAACCAATCATATTTTAGCACTAATTCAGTCTTTTCATTACCCAATTATATATTAGCACTATTTCAGTCCATCCATTGCCCTATCACATTTTAACACTAATTAAGATACGATCGTTCCACTAACCAATTAAATTTTAGGTCTGATTTTGAAACAACCAATGATAATCAAGCTCTGATTCCAACAGATGTTAGGAAGTCAAACCACTGCACTATCCAAAACAGTATTGATTAAATGTTTATTAAGAGTCACTTTACAAGACCATGCATTTCAGACAACCGGACATCAATTTATAACTTGTCCTTACCACGGTTTAAAATAAAACAAGGGCACTCTCAGTCCCGAGAGAGGAAGCAATGAGATTACAGCGTTATGTAGACTATTAATTATGCGTCTGAATCTGACAAAATTATCTTATTATATCATATTATATTACATGTATATTATATTAGGTATATTAGAACTGCAGCTTAAAGTTTCAAATTCTAAAAGATGCTTTAATAGAATTGAAGTATTCGATCAAAAAAAAAAACAAAAAACAAACAAACAAACAAAACAAAACTGAAATCAGACATTCACGACACTTGAGATAATGTTGATAAATGACATACCAATAAAAAAAGGGAAATCATTTAAAGCTAAAATATGTTTTAAATTTAAACCTTTTACATGTACTAGAAAACTGTATGAAAACCCGAGATTATTCCCTTTATTATTGTTATTATTTTCATTTAAAAAAAAAGCCTTTGAATAACTTTCAGATCAATACCTTCTTTCATAATTCTAAACCTACAGAGCAGACTTTGATAAATTGACAGTATACAACGCACTTATGACCTACAGGGACTTTATTATGGTAGGTAAAACATATCTATATATTGTCCTTTCCTTACTGTTAATAACTCACACGTTCAATTGACGTTTCTGTCAGTAGTTATTTTACACGCTTTGTGACGTGCACCACAGAGCACTTTATGTGCATCGGACACAATGTCCTCATTAATTAACATGAAACACCTGTGTTACTCAACTAAAGACAAACATTAAATTTCATAACTCCAGAAAAACAAGGTTAAAAGAGCACTTTTCAAACAGTAGTGGAATTTGCTGAATGAACATTTTACACGCAGGTACGACAATTAAAAGTGATGAATGGACTGTCATTTTACGAAAAATGACGAAATGTGCCGACCAATAAGAATCAAGAAAATTCGATCAAATTCTGTTAAGATACGGAAATTACCGAAGATGGGGGGAAAATCAACGAAGAATGACAATTAACCACCAGTGACTTTAGACGGGCGAGGAGAATAGGAATATATTATATGCCTAGATGTTGTTTATGAGAAAATAAATGAATCAGCGGACCGTGACGTCTTGGAGAATTTAGGGGGTATGAATTGCGATTTAAGGAGAACCGTGTCAGAATCTACAAAGTGATGCTGTAGCCGTTATTATAGAAAGAATAAAATTTTTTTAAGGAGACGGCGGGTGTCAAATTAATGAGGTGAGGATATTTTAATTACTTTGACCTCCTTTGAACTGATGTGATAATATACCGGTATATTATCCGGGATTTAAAAATAAATATGCATTGACAGTTTAATACATATACTCCTCTGCACTCTGAAATAAATATTTATTCATTCAACAATCTGTTAATCACCCCCACCCCCTCCTTCACGAGTCTTAGATATAAGGACTAATGTTTATGCTCAAAAGGACTGTTAGATAGGTATGATCTGGTGCCCTCGGGCCACCAATTAGACACTTGTTGTGATCAAAACTTAATTTTATATACACTGTAGTTTTCCTACGTACAACTTGCAGTTTAGATTGATACCTGAATGAATACTGTGAAAAGATAAGGTCCCAGAAACAAGTTTAATTTGCTACTTTTCCTAAGATTAATTTATTTAGAATCATTCTTTTATTTTAATTTTAAAAAAATGCAAGTACATTAAAATCCTTGTTTCTGTGTGATACATGTATATCATTAGAGTTTTGACTCAACATTAAATACGTTCGATACAAAACAGTGATATTGAGATTTAAATCATTCAGTTACTTGTATACTTCCGACGGGATGTAAACATCCGGGTACCTTACATATTCTTTAATCCGATTATTGAATTCGTAATGAATCATGGCCGTCTTTAAAGTAATCAATGGTTCATTAAATGATAAATAATTAAATTAAAATTTTCATCTGCTTTGGAGGCTGCCATTTTATAACCTTCGCTTTGTCGTAAATCGGTTTTTTACGTATCCCTTTCAAGTCAAAATTCGTAAGTAAAATCAAAACTAGTAAATATCATGGTTGTAAATCTATTTACAAAGGCATTACATGTATTTTATTTTATTTGCATGGTAGGGTTGGCGGTAAAGGTTAACTGCTCTTAACGATATACGAAAAAAATTTTACGTAAATGCAATAAATAAAAGTTTGTATTTATAAAGTTTGAATCCGTTTTCATAGGCCGGAGTCAACACGATTTCTTGAATTCATAATGAGGACTTTTTTAATTACTAAATGCATAATCAGCGCATGTTTGTCTATTGTTCTTAATGATATTTAATGTATTAATGTATTTAATGATAGTCCTATATGGTATGTATAAATTTGTGTTAAAAGGAGATCAATAGACATAATAAGCACTCATGGTTTAAATGAGACAAAAAACTCTTCTTTCTTCTTACGGTTGATTGATTGATTGTATGTTGTTTTACGTCCCATTCGAGAATTTCTCACTCATATAGAGAAGTCACCATATACACCTGTACCGGTGAAGGGCTTCAAATTTTGACCTTTACTCGGCACTCAGGGTCATTGAGCAGTGAGGGATCTTTATCGTGCCAACGCCTGCCGCGACACTGGGCCTCGGTTTTTAAGGTCTCATCCGAAGGACCCGCAACTTTCACTTCAAAGTGCCGAGCGCATGGCAAAGGAACGGTTGCTACCCATTTTTTATCGACTTAGGTCAGTCGCGGTCGAGATTCGAACTCACGACCTCTCGATCACGGAGCGAGCGAGCTACCGTGAACGGTCTTCTTCTTACGGTATTGTGACTTAATTCACCACGTGTTTTCTTATCTCGGGGTAACTTTGTGAATACTAAATTCCGACAAGTGACGTGTAGGGTAGCTTGCCACGTCCCTCAGCAAATGAGCTACTCGGGAATATTGTTCGAACAATCAAAATTATCAGACATTGATTTACAATCATTTGTACCTAAAGTTAAGTGCAAATGATCAAAATGTTAATTTCGTTTTGAAACCTTTGTAAATACTAGTGCCATATGGAAAGAAGAGAAAAAGATAGATATCACGTATTTTTCTATACAAACATGACATTGTTAAGCTTAAGACTAATATTAGACCCATTCTTACAGTATTTACTCCACCTCCCTTGCATATTTATCAACCTAATCTCCAGTCAAGGGCAGGTAAATGGAAATTTTCAAAGTAGTAAGGGAGAAGAAATGCTTAATCATTTTATGTTGTCACAATCTAAACTCATTTTGACATTCATAATAGGTTTCAAATGAACCAATTTTTTCTTAGCAAATTAGTAGAAGTAATATAAGGTAAGATAAGAGAATAAGAGAAGCTACCAGAAAGAACCCCAAACCCGGTATTAAGTGTTAGATTCTATTTCTGTACGGGGGTTAATGTGATTAACCAAGGCTTAATTCTTTTTCAAAGGGTGGGGGTCATGGGAAAAAAGTTAAAAAAAAAATGGAATCGAAGTTATTCTTTTTATGAAACTTTTGGTCAAAACCCCCCAAATTTCTAGAAACATTCAAAGCTTTATCATTAAGAGCAGATTAAGGTTGTTCGTACAAAGGCGTTTCCCATGATAGAATTTTAGAAACATGTAAGTTCACATATCAACGATACAGATTTAAACTGCATGGCGACTGTCATAGCTCTCGTACATTAAAAAGTGAAATATAGCACGATACCAGAAATAAACCAATAGCGCATACTGATTTGTTATCTGCAGACATTTCTGTCATAATTAATTTAAAAATCCACTTCCCTAACCACTCTATCACATTATATCAGTCATGCATGTTCGCCTCTTCTGCAGATGACCGTCTTCAATGCTTATACATTGAACTAATTTACACTCGTAGGCCGTAAACTGTGTTTAAACGGGCCCATTTACTAACGGGGGTATTCAGAGGGGGGGGGGGTTCCATGTATTATAGGTTTTTTTTTTCAAGATGGAGAGGGGTTTATGGACAAGACTAGGTACTTTAGATTTTAGTATATATATAGTCCCTATATCAGCTTACGTTTTTATATTTGAATATGTAAATCTTTGGAGGTAAAACACACATTTTTTTCATTCAATTTATAAACTTTGTTTAAAAAGTTGGCAATTGTTGTTTAGTATATGTCAAAATTGCCACAGTCTATCTTCAAAATACAGTATGATGTCAACAACCTTCATATATTGCTGGAGGTCAATAATATGCACTATGTATCATAAATAGGCAGTTATATCTATGCATTTTTCTTTCCAGGACAAAGGTTTTATAAACCCTATGAAATCCATAATGTGTTCCCTTCAGATCGGCAGATCTCTGGCCAAGAGAGTGTTGTGTTGGTTTATCTTGATACAACATTGTTATGTTGGTGAGTTTTGTCCTTTACTATTGCATTTATTGTTCTATTGACCCCCCCCCCCCCCCCCTTACCACCAAAGTAGAAACAAGACATTCATATCAAAATACGTTTGGTTTGGAGATTTATTTTAAATTTCAAATTATATCTACATGTAGTATATCAATTCATCTACTTACATAATAGATCCACGGCTGCTTGTGGACAAAATGCATCAACTAATATTATATCTCTAGAGCTTAGGGATTATTTAAACCTTTACATTCATCTAACACCAATATTTATAACAACATTGAATAAAAAGCCTAACTTCCAAAATTAATTTACACACTATATAAATAATCACCAGTTTACATAACGAATTCGTACAATACACACCTGAATGACATACCTGTAAAATATTAAAGAAAGTGTATAAAATGTCAATCATTGGCTAACATTATGTAAACTGTGCATAATATCATTTCAAAATTATCAAATTTGTGATATTCGATTTCTTATTATTTATCCATTTTTTTTTGATAATGTGGAATCATTATGTTTCTTAGAAAATAAGTTTCGGTGATCATAAGATTATCCCTTTCCCATGAATTTTAAACAATTTTAGTAAATATTGATAAAAATTGAAATACAGGAGTTATCGGAGCCCTTTGCATTGAAATTACCCCCTTACAACCCCTATACAACCATTACAAACAACCATTACCACAAACTTTTAAATTTAAGCAACTTAATTGGCTTCGAATCATTTGTACGGACATTAATCATGGTAATGTGAGCCCACCCTCGGTCTTTAATTTTAAAATTTTAAGAATTGGTAAAATAAATTTCCTGAAATGTTTCGATTTATATCCCCCCCCCCCCTTTACCCAAAATATTTGGAGAAAAAATTCAGTACATTTAACCATTAAAAAGAAATTGTTATGTCCCATTTAATAAATAAAGGTACAAAGCTATGACACCAAATGCACATTGTCCTTTTTATAACTCAAAGGTTTTGGCGCATGCGCACCATGTAAACCCGGCTTTATCAGAGTTGGACGATGGTGCTTTGCAGTGCACACAGAACCAGCTACCAAGAACAGCAGTGTCGCAGTTTGTCAACAAATGGGCGGATCCATGGTGGTGATTGACAGTGCTGAAAAGGAAGAGGCGTTGACGTCATATATTATGGGTATGTATCACGTGACAGGAACTCAAAATCTAGATGATAAATAATGTATAGTACAAAAAACTCACATTCCAGTAATAATTCTGAATATTGTGATTTTTATCAATTTTTCTTTTTTTTGCATAGACTTTGAAATAATTGACTAAAATACAGATAGGAAAACAGTTGTACAAACCATTTTGTGACGCTAAAACAGTTCTGTTTTTCTATTTTAGAAAACGAGCTCCTTGTTATGACTGATCAAAGACTGGTGAGAAATTGATCACTTTTGTACATAAGTTATACACTCACACACACACACACACACAGAGAAAATTGAGAGAGAGAGCGAGAGAGAGATCACTTTTGTACATGTTATAAAATGTTTACATACACTGAGAGAGAGAGAGAGAGAGAGAGAGAGTTGTACATAAGTTATAAAATGTTTACACACACACCCTCACACACACACACACACACACAGAGAGAGAGAGAGAGAGATCACTTTTGTACATGTTATAAAATGTTTACACACACAGAGAGAGAAAGAGAGAGATCACTTTTGTACATAAGTTCTAAAATGCTTGTAAAATACATGGTAGATGTCTATGATGAAAAACGTTTATCTAAAATGAGAGAGAAGGGGGGGGGGGGGCAGAGAGAGAAAGCGTCACTAGTGTGTTTATTTAAAAAGTGTTTGAATAACATTTTATCTTTGAAACATGAAACTTTATAATACAAATATTTTTAATTTGTTTAAGTTCGAAGAGCTTCATGTTCATGTCCTTGGGATCGTATAAAAATTATGTTTACTTCTCAACAAAATGTAATGATTATTGTTGGTAATATTAATCCAATGAATTTTAAAAGTTACCGCGCTTCATGAAATATGCCTACGTGACAAGTCTGTGTGATTTACACACCAATAACTCCTACAAAACTTAAAAACATTCCTTTATAATAATTACAAAATCTGTATAAAGATCTACAAGTTATAATGAAAGTTTTATATTTGTAACTATTACAATGTGATTACAGATTACATTTGTAACTATTTCAATATGATTACAGATTACATTTGTAACTATTCATTATAATTACAGACCTTGCATAAAGACCTGGAGGTTATAATGAATGTTTTACATTTGTAACTATTACAATATGATTACAGATTACATTTGTAACTATTCATTATAATTACAGACCCTGTATAAAGACCTGGAAGTTATAATGAATGGCGATGATGAAATGGACAGGTGTAAGTCAACGTAAACTGAAAATAAAAGTAAAAACAAATTGAAAGTCAAAGAAGAATAAAACCTGAAAGTGAAATGCACAAAGTGAAACGGATGGACAAATTGAAAATGAAAGTCAAAACAAATTGAAAGAGACAGTTTTAATCATTTTAAGCTTATTAATAAGAAGATCCAATAAAATTTGTAACCTGATTCTTAAAAAGAAAAAAGATTTCTCTTTAGACACTGAAATATTTTTTTTTAGTTTGTGACGATTATATGAAGTATGGCAGAGAAAGTAAAACATATAGGCATTTCATTAATAATGAGGTAGGTAATATTAGTAATAATTAGTAATAAGTAATAATAAGTAATAATATAAGTAATAATACATAAAAAAATAAGTAATATTGTAAGTAATAATGAGTAATAATATAAGTAATAATAATTAAAAATATGAGTAATATTATTCTGAATATTAAGGTAAGTCACAGTCTAAGCAGTTTAGGAGTAAGAATCTTAGATATCGATTACGACTTATGGTTCATCAACTCAAAATTATTAAAGCACAGATCTCCTTTTCGTGCAGTTCATCACCAAACACAAGTCAATCTGATAGAAACTTTTGTAATTTAGTAGTTTCATGGAATGCTTAGACTATTTGAGAATAAATTGACGTAACTTACTATGAATGAATTGAAATATTCTAAAATCAGAATATTTTGTGGTGGTTTAATTTTCGTTGTTTTTTTGTTTTTGTTTTTTGTTTTGGTACATGTATGAAAAAATCTTAGAATTCATATCTTTCACCATATGTTAAAATAACAAAGTGCAGCATCATGTATGTCTCCGAACAACAAAATTAAACTCCCTTTAAATTGTCGACGGATTTTCCCGCTATTTCCCGATCATGACAAAGAGCACACGACGGGTGTGACCGGTTGGCAGGGGACGCTCATTCCTCCATGGCACCTGATCCCACCTCTCATATTTTTGGAGGTCCGTGTTTGCTCTGCTCCCCATTTGTATTGTTTTAATGGACTTTGAGCTTGAATACTGTTGATTATCTCCGTATTTCATTACTGATTATGAATTGACGAAACTAATTGACAATGAATAACTTTTCCTATTGACACTTTTGCGTTACTGTTTTGAATTTTTTTCTCTTCGCTTAAAAAAAATGAATTTTAAGTTTTACTTAAAATATTTTATGTACATTGGAATGCACTGTGTATAGAAAGAGTTATCGCGCTCGCATTATCCTTGGAAGTTTTTGGCGTTGCCAAATTAGGAGAAGCAAATGCAAGTTATTCTTGGAAATGAAAACATTCGGTAAATGCCAAATGGAAATCGTGCGCGGGAAAAATCTGGACACGGTCGTTCAGATAGCGTCGCTTTTCAGTTTCTTTCAGGACGCCGTGAAAAGTACATGTGTGTTGGATAGCTTCTAATTATGTTCCCCAAACGAAGTTTGGGAACATATTGTTTTTACTCTGTTTCTTATTATTATTATTATTATTATTATTATTATTCTTTTTTTCTACTTTCTTCTCCGGTACTTTTTTGTCCGGAAGTGTTCTCATAGAACCACTCATCCGATTGACATGAAACCTTTTTAGGGTTAATAGGCATGTTGTGTAGGTGTTCGGAACGAAGGTCATTTTGCGCGCACGTGCATGCATGTGCGCGCGCGTGCAATGACTAATATACTTGATGAAGCCGTAACTTTTATATTTCTTGATGAATTGCTCTAAAACTCAAAATATAAAGATATATTAGTAGTCTAGACAAGATAACATGATCAAATTAGCGTGAACTCACGCGCATGCACGTGCGCTCTTCTCTGATTGGCTGATACAAAAATCTCAATAATTTCCTTGTTTTTTGACAAAATACTTTGAAATTTAGAATATAAGTAAATATTAAAAGGTGCTACAACATGTTATATAGGAAAGTTCTTGAAAACACGTGCATGCAGATGTGCTGCAATCTGATTGGTTGAAACTTTAAAAGTCTATAACTCCCTTTGTTTTCAACAAACCAGGATGAAATTTACGACATGGATAGGCACATAGAGTTCCTACATTATGATACTATCAAAATAGAATGCAAGGCCATGCATGCGCGTATGCTGAATTCTGATTGGCTAATACTTAAAGGGTTACATCTCCCTTATTTTTCAACGAGATTCTTTAATATTTAATACAAATGTATGTATTGTGAGACACTATAAGAAAATTAATGTGAAAAATGTAGAAAACATGTGCAAGTACATGCGCTGAAATTTGATTGACTAGTACCCATATGGCTATATCGGAGTAGTTTTCCAATGAAATACCCTTAAAAATAAAGTGTCCAGCTACATGTATATTACAAAAGTATTGTCTAATTTATTGAAGCTTGTGGGGAATGGGGCATCATAAGGGATTGGGGAGCCGTTTGGGGAACATCTGTAACGGTTCCCGTTACAATTAGCACTAGTTATTTTAATTTTGAATAAAAAAAAGAAAAACAAAAATTCTTCTTTACCCTAAAACAGCTCTGTCTGTAAACATGATCTCTTGTTTCATTGTTGTTTAGGTGCACCAAACCTGAACTGACAACACCGGTGCATTGGTTTTGCTTTGTTATATTTCTATTCTGAGTTTTCTTTATTATACTTTTTATATCATTTATGAATACACCAGATTTCCAACCTTTAAAACATATTAAATCTGAAGGATAAATTTAAGTTCCTGAAAATGCAAAGAAGCATGGCAATCAAACACACATGATATTCGTAGTTTTTATTATTTTCCGATAAAAGTACACTTTTAGAATATATCGGTTTAAAATATCCTGGCCTGAAATTTTCTTAAAAGTTTTGCAGGATATAAACTTTAGATCTGTGTTTATGTCCATTCAAAAGAAAAATTTGATTTCCAGAAGATTTAAAGAAAGTGTAGACTTATTTACTATGATATGACGTAACTTACTAAACAACTAACAATGAAATGACGTAAGTCAATGTTAGTAAGTTACGTAATTTTATTGATAGTAACTTACGTCATTTCATTGTTAGTAGGTTATGTCATTTCATTGTTAGTAAGTTACGTCATTTCATTGTTAGTTAGTTATGTAATCTTATTGTTAGTAAATTATGTCATTTCATTGTTAGAAAGTTACGTAATCTTATTGTTAGTAAGTTATGTCATTTCATTTTTAGTAAGTTACGTCATTTCATTGTTTAGTAAGTTACGTCATTTCATTGTTTAGTAAGTTACGTCATTTCATTATTTAGTAAGTATAACCAAACTTGGCATACATGTAACTAATTAACAATGAAATGATGTAACTTACTAACAATGAAATGGCATTTCCTAACTTAAACCATCCACTTTTAGGATATATACAGGGTGTTTCAGAAAACATGCAACCATTTGCTTTCCTCACTTTATTGATATGCAAACAGAGATATATAAAAGTTTTATTTAAAATTATAGAAAATAGGCCTAAGATTTTATTGATAACAAAAATTTGGGAAATAATTATCATTTAAATTAATTATAAAGTCATATTTGACATCATTGAAAAATAGGTCATATCATTCTGAATATGAAATTTACTAAAGATCAATCATCAGGAGTTTTGACACTGTTTTATCAAAGCATGTCGCTAGTTCCTGTGATTGCTTAGGACAATATAGATAAGAATCCAGAATGCAAAGAACTTTAAAAAAAGTTGAAGTTGTACAATTTTTTAACAAAATTTTGAATATAATGGAACGCAAGTGATAAAAAAGGAAAAATTGGAAGAACGAAGAGAATAGAACACATGAAAACATTGAGAATGTTAGAGACGTTGATTCAGTGACTCCAATGAAATCCTTAAGTAAAATATAACTGACCTTGTAAACGAATGCAACTCAAAAATGAAAAGTCGTGTATATCGGATGCTGAAATATGGTTTGAATCTTACACATTAGACTGGGTGAAACAAATATTTGAGGATTATTCTTCTCTTCCAAATCCGAAAATCTGCATTTGGCCTCAACATTCACCTGACTTAACCCCCCCTTAAAGGTCACAGTTTATAAAACACACCCCATTACAACACATGAACAAATCGTTTTTAAAAAATGAGTCAAGGTTCATAACAAAGAAATTTTGTGCACTAGTTATGATAATGAAAAATTTCCTGCATCGATTACATTTATTCATTCAGCAAAAATGACGTCATTTAGAACATATTTTGTAACTAGGTGAAATTTTAAAGGTTTTCTTTATTCTTTCGTAGCTCATTATCTATTTGCCGGAATAATTTTATTCTTACGAGAATAAATTTTGTAATTGTGCCTTTTAATTTAATATGTTGGTGGATGGTATTGGATGAAGCACGAATAAAATTAAGTCAATCAAAATGGTTGCATGTTTTCAGAAACACCCTGTATATAAAGGAAAACGTAACTTGACAAAACACAGAATTACTAAACAACTGTTTAGGATATATATCAGGGAAAAATAATCTGTATCCATGTAATGTATATCCTCTTCTGTATCCATGTGATGTATATCCTCTTCTGTATCCATGTAATGTATATCCTCTTCTGTATCCATGTAATGTATATCCTCTTCTGTATCCATGTAATATATATCCTCTTCTGTATCCATGTAATATATATCCTCTTCTGTATCCATGTAATGTATATCCTCTTCTGTATCCATGTAATATATATCCTCTTCTGTATCCATGTAATGTATATCCTCTTCTGTATCCATGTGATGTATATCCTCTTCTGTATCCATGTAATATATATCCTCTTCTGTATCCATGTAATATATATCCTCTTCTGTATCCATGTAATATATATCCTCTTCTGTATCCATGTGATGTATATCCTCTTCTGTATCCATGTAATATATATCCTCTTCTGTATCCATGTGATGTATATCCTCTTCTGTATCCATGTGATGTATATCCTCTTCTGTATCCATGTAATATATATCCTCTTCTGTATCCATGTGATGTATATCCTCTTCTGTATCCATGTGATGTATATCCTCTTCTGTATCCATGTAATATATATCCTCTTCTGTATCCATGTAATATATATCCTCTTCTGTATCCATGTAATATATACCCTCTTCTGTATCCATGTGATGTATATCCTCTTCTGTATCCATGTAATATATATCCTCTTCTGTATCCATGTGATGTATATCCTCTTCTGTATCCATGTAATATATATCCTCTTCTGCATCCATGTGATGTATATCCTCTTCTGTATCCATGTAATGTATATCCTCTTCTGTATCCATGTGATGTATATCCTCTTCTGTATCCATGTAATATATATCCTCTTCTGTATCCATGTAATATATATCCTCTTCTGTATCCATGTGATGTATATCCTCTTCTGTATCCATGTAATATATATCCTCTTCTGTATCCATGTGATGTATATCCTCTTCTGTATCCATGTGATGTATATCCTCTTCTGTATCCATGTAATATATATCCTCTTCTGTATCCATGTAATATATATCCTCTTCTGTATCCATGTGATGTATATCCTCTTCTGTATCCATGTAATATATATCCTCTTCTGTATCCATGTGATGTATATCCTCTTCTGTATCCATGTGATGTATATCCTCTTCTGTATCCATGTAATGTATATCCTCTTCTGTATCCATGTGATGTATATCCTCTTCTGTATCCATGTAATATATATCCTCTTCTGTATCCATGTAATATATATCCTCTTCTGTATCCATGTAATATATATCCTCTTCTGTATCCATGTGATGTATATCCTCTTCTGTATCCATGTAATATATATCCTCTTCTGTATCCATGTGATGTATATCCTCTTCTGTATCCATGTGATGTATATCCTCTTCTGTATCCATGTAATATATATCCTCTTCTGTATCCATGTGATGTATATCCTCTTCTGTATCCATGTGATGTATATCCTCTTCTGTATCCATGTAATATATATCCTCTTCTGTATCCATGTATATATATCCTCTTCTGTATCCATGTAATATATACCCTCTTCTGTATCCATGTGATGTATATCCTCTTCTGTATCCATGTAATATATATCCTCTTCTGTATCCATGTGATGTATATCCTCTTCTGTATCCATGTAATATATATCCTCTTCTGCATCCATGTGATGTATATCCTCTTCTGTATCCATGTAATGTATATCCTCTTCTGTATCCATGTGATGTATATCCTCTTCTGTATCCATGTAATGTATATCCTCTTCTGTATCCATGTAATATATATCCTCTTCTGTATCCATGTGATGTATATCCTCTTCTGTATCCATGTAATATATATCCTCTTCTGTATCCATGTGATGTATATCCTCTTCTGTATCCATGTGATGTATATCCTCTTCTGTATCCATGTAATATATATCCTCTTCTGTATCCATGTAATATATATCCTCTTCTGTATCCATGTGATGTATATCCTCTTCTGTATCCATTTAATATATATCCTCTTCTGTATCCATGTGATGTATATCCTCTTCTGTATCCATGTGATGTATATCCTCTTCTGTATCCATGTAATATATATCCTCTTCTGTATCCATGTGATGTATATCCTCTTCTGTATCCATGTAATATATATCCTCTTCTGTATCCATGTGATGTATATCCTCTTCTGTATCCATGTAATATATATCCTCTTCTGTATCCATGTGATGTATATCCTCTTCTGTATCCATGTGATGTATATCCTCTTCTGTATCCATGTGATGTATATCCTCTTCTGTATCCATGTGATGTATATCCTCTTCTGTATCCATGTGATGTATATCCTTTAGATTCCTTTAGGGTCAAAACCCGAGAACCGGGCCAATCTGACGACTCCGAATGGATTCAAGGTCACCCTGTCTTCAATCCCGGGGGCCGGGATGGGGGCGTGGACACACATCCCGCTCTCTAAGTACACAGTCCTGGGATCCTATGATGGTCTGGTGAGGACAGATATCAGTGATAAAGATCCGTATTCTTGGGTGGTAAGTGACCAAGTGCTAAATTGTTGCAAAAAATAAAATGAAAAAAGCAAAAAAAAAATGTAGCCAGACTTTTTTTTGTGAGCGAGAAGAAGGTACAAAGGACTATATTCTGTAGTGGCCAGTATCTGCCCCCAAAATAAAACTTTGATGGAGAAATCTTTAATTATGTTCTAAACCAGGTGGATATTTGCAGACTTCAAAGCATTAAATATTTTTATCAACTATGACATCATTAGTTAGATATGACGTCAATAAAATGACGTAAATTCCAAATTGCAATGATTTTGAGAGAAAATAGCGTATTTTACGTCGGTATTTTGATTGGAAATTATCGAGCGCAGGTCTGCTCAGACTAGATCTTTTGATATAATGTGTAGAATGATAATATCAATGAAATATGTGAATATGATACCTGAGCAAGCTTGCGCTCTATAAATACTATAGTCAAAATTGAACAAACTCTGTGCATTTTGGCCTCTATTTTAAAAATAACGGAAATCCAAATAGTTTGTGACGTCACAGAGACAAGAAAAGCCAGCTAATTTTTCCAATTTCATAATATATTGTCTTAATTTGGATTGTTTTATACAATATATGCACTTTTTCTCATTTCAAGAGATTTTCAAAATTTGACTATTATGGGGGCAGGAATACGCCCTTACCATATATAGTTCTTTAGAGTTATTGTTTTTACTTCCAAACCATTTTTTATTCATGGCAAGGAGCACATGTGGCGGGTATGACCAGTCCGCAGGGGATGCTCACTCCTCCATGGCACATGGTTCTATCTGATATTTTAGAGGTCCGTGTTTGCTCTACTCCTAATTTGTAATGTTTGAATGGACATTTGATCTTGAATTCTGTTCGTTATCTCCATGGTTCATTTAGTTGATCAATTAATATGTCGAATGTTTCCCCGGCCGCGAAAATTAAAAGTCATTCATGGCTTTCAAACCGAAAATTAAAATGTTGGTTTACAGTAATACATGAAGATAAAACAAGTGATCACAGAAAAAAGATATTGTGGTACGTTTCTTACCTAAAATATCGGCAATTGTCACTGGTTATAGGTTTTTATCCGTTCTTACTCCTAGACCTTGAATCAGGCAGAATTCACTTATTCTCTACCTTTGCTCATGTAAATAAATGCCCTGCAAGATCTATTTTCACTAAACAGTTAGTTCCAATTGTCAGATAGGATAATTAAAGCTGGCTTCATCTTCCGCATATAAGTATTAAACAACCATTACAAAGAATTTTGTGTATTGTTTTAGGTTGAAAAATTGCAAGGAAACGGAACTTACGTCATAGACGCTATGCCATTGGACAGCAGTAATTGGCTGCGTTTTGTGAATTCTCCACGCAACTACCAAGAAGAAAATGCGCAAGCAGTACCATGCGCAGGTTTGATTTTCTACATGACTATAAAGGAAGTAGATCCGGGCTCTGAGCTGATGGTATGGTATGGAGACAGTTACGGCCTCCATCTCAACGTAAGCAGAATACATCCGGGTGAGTCGAGAGAAAAAATCCGGATATCGATCCCGATTGAGTAATTTATTCTAAGCTCGTTACGCTCAATGGTCGTTTTCATGATTTGGTGCAAAATTATATATACAAGTATATACAGTATAAATATATGTACATGTATATACAGTATAAATTTATATACATGTATGTACAGTATAAATGTATATGTATGTATATACAGTATAAATTTATATACATGTATGTACAGTATAAATGTATATGTATGTATATACAGTATAAATAAATATACAAGGGTAAAACAGCAGGGGTAGTTTTAAAGATTTAAGGTAATTCCAATCTTTTCTAGATATTCTTGTTAAGAGTATAAACTCTTTCCTTTGTGTACTTGTCATACACGTATATGCTAAGATACGAGTTCGTGTGTCGCTTTGTTGTAAGTACTTGTCCACGCTTTTAAAGTTTATATACTTATTTTTGTCTAACCCTGCATTTACCCAACTTTAAATGTGTTATGTTTATTGTCGAATTTTACAATGTAAAGATTTTAATTTAAATTACAGAACACGATTTAAACGGAACAGTGGTGTTTCGCGTTAACATTCTTCACATCTTGGATAAATATGGTGACGTCCTTGCGTTTGATGACGGGACCATTGTGACGTACGATAACTGGATAGAGGACCTGACGTATAACGTTGTAGATAGGACTTTTGGACTCCTCCTGTCCTATGACGTGAAACGGATGCGATGGAGGTGGATTCCGGAAAGGAATTACTCGTATTTTACTGATAAAAACGGACTATATCTTCCATTTGTGTGCGAAGATAGGGATTCTGAAATTCCAGATGGATGAATTTATTATTCTTTATAAATTATACGTATTGTAATAAATTAAACGTTTTTATTTACATTAGTTTAATCTTTTTGACTTCTGAAAAAAAAAAAAAGAACTATAAAGCAAAATGGAACTTAACAACAGGTGCGATAAAATCTTGTATTTGCTTTGATTCGAAGGTATATAACAAGGATATTTTTTACTTTTTACTAATTGTAGAATGGAGCTGAATTTTGTAGACATAAAATACCATTATAAACAAGAGGCGCATGGGCCATATTGCTCATGTGAGCACGTCGGCTAGGATAAAGTAAATCAATTCAGTGTTGAAGAGTTGGTTTTTTTTGGGGGGGGAAGGGGGGGGGGGCTTAAATTTACACTACCTTAGGATGCTTCCATATCAATATTACTAATCATGGCTTTGCTGTTCTCGAGCAGAATTTAAAAAAAAAAATTCCCTATGTATTCCTATATAAAACTCTGATCGCTCATTGCTGCCCCACTAATAAATTTGAACAAATTTGAATCTACACTACCTGAGGATGCTTCTATAATAATATGACTAATCATGGCTTTATTGTTCTTGAGCAGAAGATTATTCCAAAATGATTTCTATGCAAAACACTCTTTGATCAGAAAAGCTCAATTAGCCTTCGGCTCAGGTGAGCTAAAAATCAGTGTTAAAGAAATCCAGATTGTAAATTTGAAGGAAGAAGTCTTAAATACATCGTTTCTCAACCATTAGTATTTTTTTTATATTGATAAAATAATAAAACTCATCTTTAGTTTGATGACATGGGGATTTCAGAGAAACTATTTTGCATGTATACAGTTCTATCATTTTGGGATGTCTATTATATTGCAATGCATTATTGTATAAAAAAAAATATATACCTAGGTAAACTAGATGGATGTGTTCAGTTTTTCTATCCCTTTTTTAAATCATGGAAATTTGCTTTCTTTAACCGAATTTAATAAAATTTCAGTGACTAATCACGTCGGGCCAAAAGAGTTTTTGAAAGTCTCAAGTATTGTGACGTTCAGAAAGAGAATTGAATGTTGTTTCCTTTCTTAACTTTGACAATTTTGACCCAATTTAAAATATCTGTGAAGATAGAAGGCCACAAAACGACATAAGAAGAATAACAGTGGTTTTTTTTTTGCCTAATCACCCGGGTGAAATAAAATCTGATTTGAAACATTTTAAACAATTGAGAATCTTTAATCAGCATTTTCAGAAAAAGCGTGTAGATGTTACACTCAATAGTACGTAAAAAGTGAACCTAAAAATATAAATTACGCAAGTTTTAGAATTTTAAAAATCCTCTGCAGTTGCAAATAAATTTTTATGAGCCTCCATTTTAATTGCCATTTTAAGCAATATTTAAAAAAAATAAATGAACCGATCAACCAGGAAGCGAATGCTGACTAGTGTGACTTCCCATAGCTTCTTTATTTTTCTTATTCATCATTTAACCCGATTCATTATCATTGACATTCAAAGAAACAAGAATAATGCAATTTTTCATGGCATATAGTATTTAGAACAGGAATATAATTTCTTTAAGGATAACAAAGAACAACAAAAGCCTCTCAGACGATGACCTTCAGGTCAATCATTGACAGAGCGGAAATTTACGCTTGATTGCTCAGCCTTTGCCTTTCACGCTTGATTGCCAATCCTCTGTGTTTTATACTTAATTGCCCTGCTTTTGTGTTTCACGGTGTATTCTTGTCATCTGTCATTCATTCATCACTTACTCAAATCAATCACATGACTGTCATGTGACTCCTTATTGTGTCAATTTCATTTTCCTCCTTTTTTAAAGGGATTTACACACCGTCACAAAGGTAGGTTATACTTATTTTCAGGTATATAGTCCTGCAGGCCTTTTAACAAAATATCATATGACTACGATTAAAATATGAAAACTGTGAAATTTCTTTTTTAAATTAATATCATAAATTAAAAAAATATATATTTATGATATATCCATGTCATGAAAATTTAAATTGTTTTACGGCCTGCTTTAGCTGAGACTTTTGTCTCTGTTGTGAGACCTTTTATGTACACATCTATTAATTTATTGATTTATTGGAGCTACGTTTGAAAATGTCCGAATATAATTCACGGAATTTTGAATTCGTTATAAAGAAAGGTCTTTATCTTCGTTATTTTTTTTTTTCAAGGACAACAGTGAGTTTTCTTCTCCGAGGGGCTATTTGGCATGGGGGAATACGACCACGAATTATGGCTGTCCATATAAATTTCACAAAATTGAAAAATATCAACTACCCCATACACCCCTTGCTCATTAAATAAAATGTAGGAGTAGAAAGTTACACATTAGTTTTAAAATTTGACAAAGTAAAAAGGAAAAGGAATAATAATATCCCATACATCATTGGATTGTCGACAAGTTTTTTTTTTTTTTTGCATATAAGTAATATATAGCCCCTTCGCCCATTTCTTTGTCAAACATCATTAAATCATATTAGTCTCACGTTTTAAGGCTTATTTTGATCTTTTAATATTTCTTCCGAGGCTAATAATAAAACTCCGGAGTAATGTAACTGTCTTGGAGAAGAAACTCCACCTATTGTTGTGCGTAGCTGTATAATATTGAATTAAGTGTCACCTCTATTTTCGCTGGATTGTTATTTCACTTCCTCCGTAACATATGTAAATACATGTACATATATGTATTTAATATAAGGTAACGTTTCAGTTATTTCTTTGTTTAAAAAAAGCACATAAAAATATGTATTGTTTTGAAAATCACAATTAACTGCCAAATATTGAAGAGTGGCTCGGATTCCAGTAGAGCGGACGTCAGAAACTCCGGAGTGACTCACGATGGCTTCCTATTATAGCTATAGACCCTTTTACGTAAAATAAATAAATAAATAAAAAACCGGCTGACGGTCTACCTCAAAATCCTTCCTTTTTGCATGGAGTAAAGATTTCACTATCACTTGGTTGAACGATCACCAAGATAGCACAGCACTCTCTGTCTCTCTCTCTCTCTCTCTCTCAATCTTTACACGTAACGCTTATTTAGATGATTTATGGGCGACTGCGATATTAATTTCTATTCCTGTTTTCTCATTGAATGGATTGTGGTTATTTATAGAACAGAATTATTGGACACCTGTCTGACAGCCGTGTTACGTCACTGACGTCTGTCCCCTTCTCTCTCTCTATCTCTCTCTCCCCTTCTCTCTCTCTCTCCTTTTTATCCTCCTCTCTCCTATGTCGAATCTGCTATCCCCTTTTCTCTATGTCCATCTCTCTCTCTCTCTCTCTTCTCCCCCTCTCTCTCCTTTCTCGCTTCTTCTAGCTCACTCCCTTCCTCTCTCTCTCTCTCTCTCTCTCTCTTACATTTTCAAACAGTATATATTTATATACTCAAAAAATACATATATAATAACGTAGACAGTAATTTTGTACTTTGAACTTAAATTAAGTGATCCGATGATTGAATAAAAAGTTGGCAATTCATTAACATTTTAGATAATTGATTTTTTAGCCGATGAAGGATTCTGCTTTCCTTTAATCAAGTTAGGTGTTTACTTGGAGTGATCAAACACATGCTAAATGATGTAATAATTCGCACCTTTTATCACTATGCCGTCTAGTCTAGTGTAGGTAATCGCCTTGTTGAGCAGCTTCACATGTTATACACGTGTTTTCAGGCAAACATAAAACACGTGTAGCGCATGTACATGTACATAAAGATCAATTGTCCGGTAAGAGGTGACAAATGGAAAGAGAGAAAGAACTGTTCCATTTCCTGATCCTTCAATCACTACTCAGTCACCAAGCGACGCTGACAGAGTTTTAACTGAACATTCAGTACCTTTAAGGACATACGCAATGTAGTTTGAACTTTATCGTTTCTTTTTTCCCTGGAGTCGAAGAGTTCCAATATTTGGAGGACCTGTGTGCTACTCTTTTAATGTCTATGTATGGTGCTGTACACCTCTTCTGAAACAAATTTAGATGAAAAAAAAAACCATCTAGAATATATGTTACGTAATTTTTGTATATTTTTCTTTGAATTATAGAAGAATTTACATCAATTGATATCTATTCAAAACCCCTGGTAATGCGTGCTTTTTTTTTGTCTATGAACATCTGATGGTACTATAATTCTAAATTAAGAATATCTTGAAAAATTATCAGTAGGTAAGGTACGTTGCATATGTCCTTAAAATGTATTTTTTGCTTGTAATTAAGTATTGAAAAATGATATACATCTGTGAATATATATCTTTGTGAGAAAAATGCCTACCTCCCTCTTACTTCGTAGAAATCCGTGTACGAACGACAGAGATTTCCGTGAAAAACGAGAATATTTAAATAAAGAAATGTTATCTGATTAAAATACATTATAAACAAAAGATTTAGATGCGGAATAATTTTATTGGTAGAAGTTATCAGTGAAATTGACGTATTTTTAATTGTTAGTTTAAGAATAATGAAATGTTCTTTAATAAAGTAAAACATTGTCTATACAAAATAAAAAAAAAACCCACTCTTTTGTCTTAAGAGGATGTTTAGGTGTTTAGCAGGCGAATTTCCGCGTAAATAACAGTTTTATCGTATTGTTTTTTCAAAGATAGTTGTGTTAATAAGTTGTATTATCACTGATAATTGTTGTTTAAAATTAAAATACACAAGTAAAATCTCAAAACGTCCTTTACATCGATCAGCTGTTGTCTTTGATCTTTGCTTGTCTTTGATATGACATCGATCAGCTGTTGTCTTTGATATGACATCGATCAGCTGTTGTCTTTGATGTGCTTGTAAGGGAATAAAAACTATAGTGGTCTTCCAACTTTGTAAATAGATAGATTCTGAAAATTGAATAGATGGCAATGGTTTGATTGGAAAATAAATATTCAAAACATTTGAACTATTTTAAAATTAATATCTATAAACAATATACCCCAAAACCATTAATAAAGTCAAACCGTAACTTTAGTCCTGCGTAAAATCGCGGTATTCCAGAATTAACGACAACGTAAGGTTACGAGTTCTTATAAAACGGACCCAGGGATTTCATTTCTGATTTTTTTTTTAGATATTAATTGTAGTCTTTATTTTGTATCAAATCTGACCCATGCCCCACTTACACAACTAAAATCCTGAATCCGCTCCTGATTTGCCGATAGAACATTGTTTGATTATAGATACGCTAAGTCTGTACACAAAGTCTGAGATCTTTAAACTAAGTCTGAAATCTACAACAAATGTACACCTTCTATAAATTGAATTATTTAGCTATTACACTGGTAGTACTTACAGAGAATTGCTGAAATTATCTACCTGCTATTTAATTGTTCGAATATTTATTTATTTTTGTAGAAAAACCCAATGCATTTATTTCAACGTAATGTCAAGAGGCCTTCCGATTGTAGCAGTACCTCTTTTGAGTTGGATTGTTACAGGTAAAAGAGATAAACGATCGCCTTCCGAATTATTAAAATTTAAAAAGAAGAAGGAAACTTTGCATTAACTTTAAGTTCTCTTTTAAACTTGTTTCCAATCAAAATTTTGACACTTTCAGGTTCTTTCTTCGCCTTATTCTGAAGCGAATATATATAAAGCATATATGCGATTTCTCCCTGACAGAGAAAAGAAAAATATTCAGTTATGCCAAAGTTTTTATTTTTTTTTTTGGTTTACGATTTTCTGTCTCAAAAAATGCATTGGGTGGTCGAAAAATAAAAATAATTTAGGATTCAACAATTTCATTTTAAAATACCAGCAATGTTTGTTTTAATAAAAATAATACACGTCAATAGTGTTTTTAAGTTTTATTGTCTAAATCACAGAACTCTTTTTATTTAATTTTAATTCATTTCTAACTTTAGACTGAATGTCATTTTCATTTAGTTCTGATTTTTGTTTGTCAATCAGTGCTTTGTTCATGATGTTCAACTTCTTTATGTGCTCTTCAGTGATTTGTATTGTGTTATAAACCTTGGCATCCCCACAAACAAAAAATAAGGGTCCAAATTTAAGTTAAATTTAGATTGAAGAAAAATACAACTTAATTGTTTAACAATATTAAAAGTAATTGACGTTGAAATAAAGGTTATAATAATTTGATCATGCAGCTATCAAATTTTTTTCAACCTGCGGCACAAAAGCCTAATAATTTCTCAATCAAGTCCTCCTTTAAATTTTTGCAATGTACCTGCACAGTCGGCAATGCTCATTATTTACTTAGTAATTCAAAGGGCTTTGATCTCAATTGAGTATCAAATTTTCAAAGATTTTTGTAATGAATTTACTTCATTAAATCAACAAATGTTTTATACATATTTGAATTCATCCAGTGAAATACCAGTCAGAATTACTTCAACTAAGATGTATCTCTCAACACCAAATTGGCCTATTATCTATAGGTGTATCCGTGTCACTCTCCAATATTACGGTATGAATTTAGCCAATTGAGACATTGCAATTGGAGAAAGAGATCATGCATCCAAGATTTTATTCACTTTCCCATGCAGAAAAAGTTCTTTAAGTGTATTTCATAGCTTTCAGCGAGGAATTACCTTGTCACATGACAGAACCACCATTTGTATTTATTTACGGTCATCTAAATGTTTATAGAGGTCTCAAGAATATATTAATAAGCGCTTATTTGATTAAGATGCATTTTAAAATTTAAAACCCACCAGTTCAGCTGAGAAAAATCCGGAAAATATGTCGGAAAAAGACATTATTTTTATTTTCATGATTGGTGAAAATTAGGGTCGGCGGAATCGTAAACCAAAAGAAAAAAAAACTTGGCCTAATTGAATATGTACCTCTGGAGTAACAAACAGTAATGTTATCGTTGATATTGCATCATATTTTCAGAGAGTTTTTTTTTTTAAATAACACGTCCTGTTGTTGCAAAATGAAGTACATGAATATATCATATATAGTTTGAAAATATAAAAACGTGAGGGCGGAGACACGTTAATGATTAATATGTGAAATTTGTAAAAACATATATCATTTCACAGTTTTGATCGCCATTGATTCGGAGTCTTTGACATGTCCCCCTGGGTTTTCCGGCTCAGAGGTTTTCAGATGCTCCCGGGGATTCGTGAATGTGAGTGGATGGTGCTTCTCTTTCCACAAAGAACCTACGTCCATGTTAAATTCCAGTGATATCTGTCATCAGCAGGGAGCTCACATGGTCGTTCTAGACTCTGAAGAGAAAGAAAAAGTACTCACAAAATATATTGAAAGTAAGCAAAGGAGTGGATCTAAGTTTTAAAGAAAAAGCCACATAAAATTTATATTTAATTTGCTTATTTCCGACTGCCTGTGTCAAAGAATCCTATCCATAATTTTTTTTATGTATTTTTTTTTTTAATTTTGGCTCAAAATTTAACAAAAAATAAAAACCACTCGATATACAATAAATAAAATTAATTTTAAAAACTATTTGGCAAACAACCAGAAACTATTTTATGCTGCGCCATACAACATTTGAATTCTCATGTATGTACCTCCACCTCTTAAAAAAACTTTCGTTAGGGATTTCTTTTCTTTTTTTCTTTTTTTTTTTGGATGCCTTATCTGTTGAAGTTAATTTATAAATTATCCAATTTCAGGACAGATTATTGGTTAAATCTTGAGTATTTAACGAGGTTTGATCCTGATATTTAAAGTCTTAAACTTTTTTTGTCAAGTATATTTTTAGTTTTTACAAACATAGCTTAATTAAAAATCAAAACAAAAAATGGGGATCAATATGCTTCTTTTGGCGATACAGCACATTTAATATGACCTTTTTGCATTGAAATTTGTGTCTTATTCAAAAATCACATCTTCAACGTTTTCCCTCCAATGTTTTTATCCAAATAAATCATGGGACAAAATAAACTATGAGTCTATTTAAAAAAAGACACATTAAAATTGTGACTAAGAAAAAGTTTCAAATTGCTCCGCATAATGAATTATTTGACCTTTCTGCACCCATAAAATGTGATTTTTCTGGCATTAAAAATTTAACAAGCAAGAAAGTTATTCTAAAGTCTTAAACTTTTGCTGAATTTAGGCAGATTGGTCAAAATTATCTAATATATTCAGAAAAGAAAAACAAAAGTGGGGGTCTATGATGTAGATTTTTAGATATTACTAAAAAAGTGTTGATTTTATGTTAAAATTGGCTCAGTTTTTGCCTGGACTTTCAGAATATAATTACTATATTTGTCACAACATAATGAAAGAATTCATAAGAAATAATTTAATAGATATTTCAGAACCAGCATAAAACAATTCACTGCAAAAAACAGCTCTGTGTGCAACCAGCATGGAAAAATAGGAATCTAAACTTAACAGTACATGTACTGTATATACCGTATAATGGGTATTTTCTGCCGTTGTCCAATTTTTGCGGAATTTTGCGGATAGGACAAATCCGCAAAAATTACAATCGCAAAATATTTTTTCAATATTCATTAAGATATTTTGTACATGCAATTATGATAAGTGGTGCGTATGTCTAACAGGGTTCTCATAACACAAGAACCTGCGTACTGGACACAACAAAATTATTTGGAACGCAAGGTTTTTAAAATCGATGCGTCCGCAGACTCATGAGTGGCCACATCCTCGTTAGCAAGAAAATTCGGGTGTCATCGAAATTCGAAGATTTTAGATGTCAGGATTGGTCCAAAACATATTGAATCAAAACCTTCCTGTAAATAATATCAATTAAATAAGTTGATACAAAAACATCTTTACTTGTACTTATTTCCCAATTATTAGTCCAAACTCCGATAGCTGCGAACAACACATGGTAGTTTTCTTTTTTAAACACTTTTTTTTTCAATCTTGTGTTTTATATTGAGACAATAATTACTGCGTGTATGCACAGTGTGGCTCGATTGTCTCGTGAATTTCACCTAATGCATACGACTGACAGGATTAGTTACGTCTCAATGCACATGACACCAGTGATTGTTACCCGTCAACTTAGGGGTACTCGATTATGCAACTGTTTGTTTTAGCTTAAAATATAAGCAACAAATTAATTTTGATTGCAGTTAACTAGAAATGTATTTTAGAATATGGCTTGGATGCATTTATTATCATCTAAATATATTTAAATACTAGTATTTTAATAGATCGCATAAAACGTCTGTTAGAATAAAGATTTGTATTGTTGTTTAGGTGACAACTGACACTGCATTAATTTATTTCAATTGGTACTCGAAATATTTTTTACAAAAACTAAATAAAAGATAGTAGTTTAATTAAGCATAATAGCTTAATACCAGTTTTCATGCACCTTTGATCAATACAGTGTATGTCTTAATGAATTTATAAAACGTAAACATGACAGCGTTCTGATAATTCATAAAGTTTAGTGCATGACCATACCCCATAAATAAATTTTTGCGGTATAGTGCAACCGCAGAAATTGAAAACGCAGAAATCAATTTGCTACCTTTTAGGGGTTAAATCGCAAAAATTTCCAACCGCAGAAAATACCCGTTATACGGTATTTCAAAAGGGAAAAATTGATTATTTTCTTCTAAAAAGCCTTCCACCACAAAATATAGTCCCTGGCTTAATCCTATTAGGATGGAATTTAATCGTGGTTTTTTTCATTGGATATAGTTTAATTTGCATCGTAGAATCCAGATATAATGTTAGAACTTAAAAATGATGCATAATTTTAGAAATTAAGACCCAGACCAAAATCTGCTAAAAAGCTCAGGATCGAACCTCCTTAAACATTTTTGTTAATGCAACCATTTATTTAAAAAAAAATCAGTTTTAATGAAACTAACAATTTACACTTTTTTTCTAATTGAAAGGGGAAAAAATGCCGTATATACTCGCCTATAAGCCGGATAAAGAAAATAAAATACCGTATATAATCTCCTTTAAGTCGTTTAAGGGAAATAAAATACCGTAATAAACACTCGCCTATGAGTCGGATTTGTTAGAGGTAAATTTTGGTCAAAACCTCTATCTCCGAATTATAAGCGAGTCAATATTTTTTTTTCTGGAAAACGAAATATAGTTTATATTTCTATAACTTATTACAAAGTTGAGAGCATGCAGGACAGGTAGATGTAAAGGTTACTATAAGCATTATGTATACGTACAAGTCTTTACAGATTTATAGTATAGTAGAGTATATACGGTACATAAAATGATATAACCCGACTTAAAGGCGAGTATATACGGTACATCAAATGATACAACTCGATTTATAGGCGAGTATATACGGTACATAAAATGATATAACCCGACTTATAGGCGAGTATATACGGTAGATAAAATAATATAAATCGACTTATAAGCGAGTATATGCGGTTTATAAAATGATATAACCCGACTTATAGGCGAGTATATACGGTACATAAAATGATATAACTCGACTTATAAGCGAGTATATACGGTACATAAAATGATTTAAGTTTCTCTTTTCAGAGATGAATTTTTTCAACATATATCAAGAAAGAAATGTAAGTTGTAGGAGGGAGAGAAAGAGAGAGAGAGAGAAGATATATAGGTGTGTGTGTGTTAGAGAGAGAGAGAGAGAGAGAGAGAGAGAGAGAGAGAGAGAGAGAGGAAAAGAAAGAATAAGAGAGAGGAAGAGAAAGAAAGAAAGAAAGAGAGAGAGATTAATACTTATTTTTTAATTATTGTAAGATCAAAATTGATGCGTTTCTATTAAGTGCTCGCAAAATGCTTTTATTTGAAATTTACCTTCTAACAAATATAACGTTCAACATTCTATTGCATTTATAGGAGCTTTTTAAGATTGCTCAGAAGGAATGGGATGTTGAGACTGAAAAGAAGAACTGTAAGTATTAAGGTTCATTGACCGCCTATCACAATATTTTCTAAATATGAAAAAAATATGACAGGGTTCTTTTATTTCAAGTTCACTGGGATAAATCGAGACATATGAATCGAAGTAACTATTGTTAATTGATTATACGTCGTCAATATTTCTGAATATGGGATTGAAGGCCACAGCAAGTGCTTTCTTCTTCTCATGTAGAAGTTTTAATTCTGCTTCATATAGAAACAGGTCGGCTAATAAAAAAGATTCAAAAAGAAAAAAAAAATGGAAAAACGGGATGGGGGGGGGGTATCCCAAGTGCTTGTGAATAACGGAGCACAATTAGTGCCCATCGAAATTGCAACAGATTGTTGGCAGATTTGATCTCTGAAGATATGATAAATTGTTGATGTTCCGTATGAGAACCCAAGTTAATTTTACGTCACCTGACTACATTTCACGTCATCTGACTACATTTCACGTCACCTGACTACATTTCACCTCACCTGACTACATTTCACGTATCGCTCTACTCGATCTACTTTTCAAACTTTACTACCTAAACTCCTTTCACACCTCATCCTATCTTTTTTTTTTATTTCACACCTCATTTAACCTGACCGTCATTTCATACCTCACGCGCAAAAAAAAATTCTTTCTTTGATCATAAAGAGTTTCTAGTGCAAACGTAATGTATATGTACATGTGTGAATGCTTGTCCATATAGTATTTTCTCTTAACCTAATTTGTCAAAAACGTGTACACAAATTTAAAATTCGATACTTCTATCCACGTTAATCAATTTCATGGTGAATTAATAAAGTATCACTTTCTTAAAATAACTCCATTCTGTTTAGCTAATACACACTTGATTTTAAAAAAAAAGCATTGATGTAAAAAAAAAAATCAGTGCTTTATTAGCAAGAGACTTGTTATGGTATTAACAAAACCGATGTTATTAGCACATTTTTATCAGGATAATACATTTCGAATGAAAATATTATGCTTTGCATACCTAGGACAGTCTTAGTGCAATTTTGTTTTTCTTTGCAGTTTGTGCAGATTACATTAAACACGGTGTAAAAAGTTCTAAATATAGACACATTCCTAATGCAAAGGTATGTACTTAAACAATAAAATGCTTTCTTTGGCTGTTAGTATGGGAATTAATGTTGCAGCTGTTGCCGAGAAAATGCATTACCAGCGTAAGCGTAATTTTTTTCTGCAGTAGCTGCAACGTTAATTCCCCTATTAACAAACAAAAAAAAAAGACGTTTTATTGTTTATATTTATAGTTGTACAAATAATCATTCAAAGTAGAATTAAATAGGTGGAATTGTGTATTATTGGTATGTACGCCATTGTATGTTTAACGGCAATAGTTTTCTCAAGAAATAAAGGAGACGATATTCAGTGGATGTAAATACAGCAAAATGAGCTCGAATACTATTCGTTATTTCCATATATCTCATCATAAAATTATTTAACTATCTGTCCTTGACCTATGTTTCGTGTCCTTGACATTATCTTGTACATGTAAGATTCCTCTAGGTTCCCTTCCACATCAGAGAGCTAACCTTACCACGCCACCTGGATTCTCCATAAAACTTTCGTCACTTCCGGGGGCGGGAATGGGCGCATGGGCAGAGACCTTCGTACCGAAGTTCACTATCCTCGGGGTTTATGAAGGACTTATTCACACTGTAGACCGGAAAGATGACTTTTACTCATGGCAGGTAAAATTATATGAAGAATCATCCAAAATCAGGTACAATATCTCATCCACATACAGGATATTCTATATATTCCCGATATAAAATGTTTGAAAAAGAATGTTTTAAAGGAGAACACCTAAATGTTTGACATCAAAAAGGCTGTTAAAATTACTACAACAGAAGAAAAAATGAATCTATAATCAATGAATTGTATCGAAGATTCTACTGTTTTGATCCATATGATGATTTGTTAAAGGAAAGTCAGTACAATATATGAATGTTGAACTTATGTTTAAAGTATCATTTAAAAAAAAGAAATTAATTTTTGAGAATTCATCAGGACATGAACTATAGTTAACGCTTCATGATAAATATGCAGGCGTGAAGCGTTGTAGTTCATGAACCTCATGAATTCTCAATAACTAAATTGATTTCTTATATTCACATTATTTTCTAATGACGTACCACATATTTTTGTCATTCAACGATCATTTCTGAAAAAATGCACTATATGTTTTTTTAATTTCAATTACTTCACAATGGAAATATTCTAACTCATCTCACGGTAGTTCATGAGAATAGGAACTTTTTCTAATTTGCAAAGTATCTTAAGGAAAAATATTTGGAAATGAAAATAATTTAGATGTTAATGTTCTGAAAGTTTAAATAGTGTTAAATTCAATTGCATCTTCTCGAGCCTTTCCTGCAAGCTCGGAAAGACACCTTAAATGTTCATGCATTTCCTCACCGTATGTAAATATTTTATACACAATGGAGTCTCTTCTGATTAAATTTTTAAAGGTAGATAAACAGGGAACCGATGGTACTTATAACATAGATGCAGAAGACCCATCCTGTAGTAACTGGTTACGATTTGTGAACTCTCCCGCCAAATATCAACAAGAAAATGTCATCCCTATAACGTGCGAGGGCATCATCTTCTATATGACGTCACGTGACGTAGAACCGGGTGAAGAGCTTCTGGTCTGGTATGGGGACGGATATGGGAGGTTTTTAGGGGTAAACCGTATACATCCGGGTAATTATTCAATCTATCACTTCACATACCTTCATTTCTCTAACTTGCAAATGGGTAGAAGTAAGAACTGCTTTTTATCTATATTAGTGTATAAACTCCTTATATTTTCCCCCCTTTTTTTGCATTCCACAAATTTAAATTTTAGAACTTTTAGTTTACTAGCTTCATTGAAATCTTGAAACAAAGTTTATTGCAGTGTATGAAATTTGTAATTTTTCAATTGTTTTTTCCATTTAAAAGACCTTGATTATGGTTTCAAACACCATCCAACGATACTTATTTTCCTTTGTTCTTCAAATTGAATTTTAGTTATGCCTAGATTGGCTTATGTATCAGAAAATTGTACTTTTTACTTAGGTCGAAAATGGGATACTCTCCCTTTGAACATCTGTTGGTTTTCGATACATAAATTCAAGCTTATCGATTTATAAGTTTTTAAAGGGTATGGGTGTAGAACAACAAACAAATTATATAAATGGAGTTTAGAACGTTTATATGTTATGACACAGATATCGGTATTTCAATACTGATATTATTTTCTTTCCTTTTTCTGCAGAAGTTGATCTGAATGGGTCTTTTGCATTCCGTGCCAATGTTTTGACATTTGACAATGAAAGACTAATTTTTGATAATTGGACACCTGTGACGTATCAGAACTGGAATCCAAACGACGAGGGTGAGACGGCAGTTGATCCTATCTTTGGCCTCCTTTTGACTTATCATAACGACGGTAGGTGGCGCTGGGTGACAGAGAGGAATTACACGTACTATACAGGAGAAGACGGACTAAAACTTCCCTTTATTTGTGAGGATTCTCCGTTTTATTTGGAGCCGGAAGAGTGTTCTATTACGTAATGTTTCATTGTTTTAAAATGAAAATAAACTTTTGCCACCATTATATTTTTATCATTGAAAAAAATGCAGTGTTAGACTAGTGAGTAAAAAATGTAATAATTGAATGGAATCTCCTAAATTTTATGTATTTCATTTGTTTTCTCGGGAGAGAATTTTTAAATAAACTTCGGATAGCATGTAGACAGAATGCATATTGTGGCGTCTCGTTATCTTCGCACTTCTTCAGGGAAATTTACATTCAGATCTCTTCTTTCTAAACGTATAAAATAATACCTAAAACCAAGTGTTATTATAAAGTTTTATGCACCCGTAATCGAAGATTCGGGGCCATATGTATTTTGCTCTGACCGTCCGTCTGTTTTTCTGTCTGTCTGTCTGTCAGTTTATCTGTTTGTCTGTTAGTCCGTAAAATAAGAACTTTAACCTTACCCATAATGTTTGATTGGTTAAAGAATGGCTTTCAATCTTTTCAGGTGTATTCCATGCGAAAAGACCTTTCCCAGGGTGTAAATATTTTTGACCTTTTGAACTTGATCTTGGAGTTTGACACACTTTAAAAAAAATACCAAATATTAACCTTGGTCAATTCTATTGAACGGTTAAATCAGGTAATTACATGCACCACGTGATCATTTCTTTTGACAAGATCTTCTCCTAGGTACCAACAATATTGACCATTTGACCTTGACCTTATGAGTTTGACCTACTTTTGGAAAACTTTAACCTTGGCCGTAATTTCTGAATGGTAAGTGCTAGGGCTTTAATATTTCACCGCTTTATTTCCTGTGGCAAGAGCTTTTCCTGAATACCGACATTTTTTTACCCTTTGATCTTGACCTCAGACTTTGACTACTTTTTAAAGTCTTCAGTCATAACTTTTTAATGGCTGATTCTAAAACTTTCGTAATTCACCTGTGTATTTCTTCTGAAATTCATTTGTGTACTATTAATTTTGGCCTGACAATTTTTGACTCACTTTTGAAAATCTTTAATTTTGGCCATAATTATTGAACTGTTGGTGCTTTTATAGCTTTTAGATTTCAAAGGTGAACTCATTTTGACAAGACCATTTTTTTGAGTACCAACAGTGATGATCTCTTGACCTTAACCTTAGAGTTTAACTTGCAAATGACAACCTTGGCGATAAGCGGCCATACGAGGGCATCATTGTTTCCCCAAAACATCTTTTTGTATTAACATCAGCTCCTTAAAAAAAACTTTTTCTCTTTATTGGACTACAAGTACCAAACTGCAGTCTATATATTTTTTTTTGGAAATATGTATCATAGTCCATACACCGCATAATAGAGAATGAATTGTCTTAACACATACTTAAGCATTGAATCATTTTTTTTTAAAATGTTGTCTCATAATATTAACGATGAGTGCAAACAAATTGAGAAACGCGAGCTAGCGCTTTATGAAAATTTGTTTGTACACACCATTGCTGATTCGAGACGGCATCTTTCAAAAAATAATGATTCAATGCTTATATATACTTTTTTTTACTCCTCGCCTTGCTTCTTCTTCTTCTTTTTTTTTTTTTTAAATATTTTTATTATCCCTCGGGTAGATTACAATTTATAGAAGTAAACGCGAATTTTGATTTCCGCTTATGACATTGCACTTACACGGCGTTGAACTTTTGTGACGTCAGAGTTAAATGCATACTATAACTTTTTGCCCCCCCCCCCCCCCCACGTCTTTGTTAATATGTTTTAAATGCGTAGCTATCAACACATTTTATAAACAAAATACTTGTGAAATGTAAATATATCTATCTGTGTTTCAACCCGAACAAAAATTACAGTGACGTTATTAGTCTTCGATGACGGATCTTGTACATTCAAGAGCAGAAAACTCTAATATTTACTCTTTTTAAATGATTATCTGTAGCAATAAAAGATATTTATCTTCAGAAAATGTGATGTTTTGACTCTAACCTCATAAAATACCCTTGCTAAAAACGTTAGACCTCTAATGGTATAATTCAATTTGTAGAAAGAAATATGAAGTATATCTGACGTCAAATATTTAGCTCATTTTTTTCCACAAAATAAAAATGGAACAAGATCATCCAATTAAGCAATTATTGTCAAGTATATAAAGTATATTAAGTATATAATGGATTATGTCTTCTCATCCATTCAAAATACTGCATGCATGAAAAAAAGATGGGGACATCTCTTTAAAGAAGCCTAATCCTGGATATATTGTACTGCGGAACATGAACATCAAATAATGCAATCCAGAATAAAAAAGGAAAATCCAGGAGTACCTTTTCTAGATTTCAAATTAAAAATACATGTATTATTTAAACATTTATTGCTTTAATTGCTTTAGATGATTATTCTTTATGACAAAATACAGAAAACATGGTAATATAAATACATGTGTAGACAATAGAGTACAATTTCTTTATCATATTATATTTGGATCACTGAATTGTACTGGCCTAAGGATAACCTTTACCCATCTTCATTTTGTGCCCCCCCCCCCAAAAAAAAAATCTTTATTATTCCTCTGGAGGAATATTCCTCCATTGTCACAGTCCTGATGTACAAAAAAAACTTGCATGTATCACATCTGAACCAGTAGAAACACTCAATTACAAGATGAAGGAATAATTCTCCATCATTAGGTATAGAAAAAATACATTGGGGAACATTCCTATATTGGTAATGGATAGTGATGGAAAAATACACATAGAGGAACATTACTCTATCTTAATGTTTATTACAATTAATACATACGGGAACATTCCTCTGGAACTGATGTACAAAATAAATTATAGGGGAACATTCTTCTATATGTAAGTATACTGATAAAAAAAATGTTACATAGAGGAACATTCCTCTATCAGTAATGGATACTGAAGTACAAAAATAGAACATAGGGGAACATTCCTCTATATGTAAGGGATACTGATAAACAAAATGTTACATTATATAAATAGTGCACGTTTTTGAGGGTAACAGTTGAAATTGACACCCCAAGGAAAACCATTGTCAACCGACGCGTCAGCGGAGGTTGACAATGGTTTTCCGAGGGGTGTCAATTTCAACTGTTACCCTCAAAAACGTGCACTATTTATTTTATTATACTGAATGTCTTATTGATTTCGGATGTCATAAAAAAATTCGGAGATCGTCGTTAAGTTCACGCTTAGAAAGCTTTCAAACTCCCCGCTTCTATTTTTCTCAATAAGAAAGCTTCGGAAAAGATTTACCAACCTCTTTATTGTTTGTTTGCTACTCAAAAAGTCCTTTATCATCTCAAGTTTGATGTTTCGTCTGTCGTTTGTTGTTTTCAAGTAAGCTACATCGGACGCAAGCTTTTATTGACGTCGTTTATTCGGCTTCTTTCAAACGCACAACCGACGTTTTGAGAATTCTACGGTGAACCGTACGCGCATGATTTGAACGCATGTGATATTTTCGTAATGTTACCCGTTGTCAAGTGTGTTGCTAACGCTGAGGGTAACATTACGGATTGTTAAATGCGTCTAAACCAATCAGATTTTAGTATTTAACATGAAAGTATAATAAAGAGGAATATTACTCCATCTTTATGTAATCCTCTTTCGGTAATGGGTACTGATTAACAAAATGTCTACATACTGGAACATTACTCTATTTTCAATAATATTTGGTGCACATAGTATTTGGAGGAATTCCTATTTGAAATAATACATAGGGGGTAATTACTCCATCATTTTATTATATGTGAACAATTAAAATTGGTGTGATGTTCTTTATCCCATAATTTTAATAAATGGAGGAAAATTCCTCCAACATCTTCTGATCCTGATATACAAATGGTCGATATAATTAAGCTAACATGTGTAAAAGTATGTATAATACAGTAAATAAAAACAATAAGTTCATCTTTGAAAACTAATTAATATTGATATATATTTCGACAACCTTATACAAAAAGTTACTACTTACAAAATAGAGTACAATCCTGCATTATTATGTGATGCCATGAAATGAGATAGCAATTTTTGCATGGAGAAATAATCATCCTTAATCCAATATGTACAATTTAAAAAAAATCCCAAGATTGGGGATCAATAGACCTTTAAACACTTAATGCATGGATGAGTTCCCAGTTGAAAATAAAACATAGAGGAACATTACTCCATCATTTTTTCATGTTAACAAATAAAATTTTTGTAATCTATATAATCTTGAGATATTAATACAATGTCATGTAGAAATATTCCTCTATGATCATCATCATTTTTGATAATTATAAACAAAGTTTAATGAAAAAAGAATACCATCTTCTTTCTTTTCCTGTTTATTCCAAATTCACGTAGAAATTTGTTTACAAGTGAAAATAGATCAAAATTCCCATTTTTAGAAAATAAGAAACATTTTATCCATCTTGATGTAGGTATTAATGTTAAGTAAGAATTAATTAATTATAATTTTTTTTACTTATTTCATTCTTATACTCTTAATAGTTTGTAGATGTAAATCAAAAATAACAAAAATGAAAGAAGTTAAATTATAACTACATTCTACCTAACAATACGTAATAAAATATCACTTCTAACCCCTGCTGAATTCTTCATCAAAATTTCGTGCAGATGGAGGTGTGCCACTGAAGCCTTTCTTCACTCTTTCTTAATGCAAAGATTAACTTATGACATTGTTTGATGAATCAATTTCCATTAATCCTCCAATTTATTTCTTTTCCTGTTTTTTCTTCAACTTCTTCTTAGGTTTTGCCTTTGAAAGGACTATCTGAATTTACACAAATGTAACAGAAAGTTATACACAACTTAAAATTAAAATGTATATTGTGCAAAACTTTTTTTTTACTTTGATTAGTACAGATGAAAAAAGTGAAGAAAATGAACAGAGATCGATAGCTAAAAAACCCCACACAAATAATTGTAATGCATAATACTCTGTGAACATGCAGGGCATAAAACACAGACCCTCTGAAATTCCAGAGGTGGGATCAGATGTCTAGGATGAGAAAGTATCAACTGTCAACCAGTCACAACCGCCGTGAGCCCTATGTATACATGTGTTTATGTATATGCAGATTAATTGACAACATCCCAATAATTAACTTACAATACATATTGAAAATGTTTTTGCACATACCTTATGGTCATCAAGCTCTCTGTCTAGCAGTTCATATAAATGGCTCTCAATGTCCTCATTAAAGCTTTCTTTTTGCTTCTGTTTGTTCACTAATTTTGGTAATAACCAGTCTGCCTCTCTTCTGGCATAATCAACCATCACTTCATTGTCATCTTTTACAAGTTGTAAGTATTGTAAATACTGCTGCCACCATTTGTACTCGCCATCTCTAGACATTTGGTATTGTAGTTTTTCGATGTTTTTCCTTATGGCTGCTGTATCAATTTTATGGAAGTTTGGAGGTATGAGTATTTGTGGTTTGCCAGAAGGGACTGCATGAAGCATAGTTTCTACAGTGGGAGTCCATGGTCGACTGCTGTTGGGCCGGTAGTGCATAACAACTCTCTGGGATATGTCTCTGCTGAACTTAAAATGAAGTGGTTTGGAATGTTTTTTGATCTGATTCAAACATGGTTCCAGCCAGGTTTTGATGTCAAAAAGACCTCTTAATTGCTTAGCTCCATTTAGAAGTGAAAGAAGTTTTGGCATCGTCTCTGCATCAGATTTTCTCAACTTCATTGATAATTGGGAAAAGGAAGCATCAATGTCTTCATGAGTATGCCCTACATGGAGAAATGATAAATGGACCTAAAAGAAAAAAAATCAAGCTATTTATTTATATAAAGTTATTATTATTTTTTATTTTGACACATGTATATGCAACAATGTTTTTGATTAACTATGATTTTTTTTTTCAATTAAAGAAATACATGAAATATAAAAATTAAATTCTATAAAATTGGTAAAAGACTGCAATATACCTACTTCTTTGAATATATCCAAAGTAACAAGTAGCTCACAGAAACCAAGGACAAATTTATTCTTATTTTCTCTGGCACAGTTGTCAGCTTGAATGTAAAACGTGCTCTGTAGAAATCCAGTCTGTAATTATTTTCAAAATTTTCATGTGAATGCTGAACACTGTTTAGTTAAATACTTTAGTTCAATTTCTATGAGTTTGTTTTCTTTTTCAATATAAGGACTTTTCCAAATTTTAAGACAAAAAATTTTAATATTAGATAATTAAATCTTACTTTTAATAAAGCCTTGTATGTGCTTTTCAATATGATATTCATTACTAGATTTGCATCATGCATATATTCATTAATATCCACATACAAATCTAGTGATTCTAGTCCATGATTCAATACTCCTTGAATATGAGTCTTCAAAAAACTGTTTGGGTCAACACCCTATATAAAGAAATAAATTCTTGTATGAAACAGACTGAAAACAATCTGTGTCGTATTCTAAGTACATATTGAAATGTTTGAACTGTATATGTATATACTGAAATACTAGTACAAATCCACAATGCTCGGTAATTACAGATACAATTTTAAAAAGAAACATGCAAACTTTTAGTAAAGCTTTCGCGCCTTAATTTCAAATCTTCGGAAGCTTTTGAAAAATTGAAATGAAAGCGCTAAAGCTTTACTTTACATTTTTGTATATATTTTTTAATTGTATCTATCTATCTATCTATCTCACATGTTGACTCCTTTACAGTTTATACAATTAATGTTGGTCATATGATTTCATTTTAATATCAACAGTTGTGACGTCACAATGGTTTTTGTATGAAAGTGATGACTTCAAATAAATTGAATTCATGTATAAAAAAGTGTAAAACGCGATAATTTTTTGTAAAACAAGAAAGAGGATTGAAGCTCTCATTGCCTGTGGTTGGATGTGTCATATCAGAGTTTTGTGTTTTATATCCCTGAGCCAGGGATATGAAACACACAACTCATTAGATATGGGTCATATCCAATCACAATCTATGGGAGATCCTATAAATATCTATACTATCTTGAATAAAAATAGAAATATGCGTATTGTAAATACCTTCATAAGTCTTCCTGTGAAATGTGGCAAATTAGTTTTACCTGTAAAAAATATCAGTATATTAATGGTCAGAAAATGAAATTTGTATTTTATAATTAAAAAAAAAATGATATCAAAACTTGTATGAAACTTACTCTGGTCCATGCCATCAATGATAATACTAAGAAAATGGCTGGGGTTGCCCCTAGCCAATTCCCTTTTCTTGTAGTAGTATCTTCTCTCTTTCCTTTAAGGAACAATAGACATATCTGTTTATTATTTGCTATAACACTAATTGAAAATATGTATCATGTATTTTTTTTCTCTAGACAGTCTATATAAGTATGTATTTATGAACAATTCAAAAGATCCCCACAAAAATTGGTCAATTTGCTATTGCTTACATTTGCCTTTGATTATGAACAGACATCATATCTTTTAGCTTTCCTCTTTTAACAGGATCCCGTGTTTTTTCTAGCTCTCGTTCAATGTGCACACATGTACTACATCTAGAAAATGAATTTGTCTGAAAAGAAAATTATATGCAATTTTTATTTCATAAAAGTGATATTTAATTTTTTAAAGAGTTACTTTTAATATGTAATTATGTGCATTGCAATGTTGTAACAATAGGATTTTGAAATGATACCTGCTTAATCTTCAACTTTGGAAAGTCTGTTTTCCAAATTTCATAAAATGCTGACCGGCTGACAGTGTATGCATATTTGATGGATATTTCTATTTTCTGTATTTTTTCATCAACATATAAATCATAAAGATCACTTTTTCTTGTCTTGAATGGCAGCATCATATCGCCATTATCAGGCATTCTGTCTGCATGAAAATACTCATAATTTTGCAACCAGACAATGGCTCCTTCTCTTGCCATCCCAAATCCTCTGGCATTTCTATAGCAAGCTGCTGATTTTCCTTCTGAAGCTTTTTTGCAATACTTGTAGTAGAAGTTTTTGTTTATTTTGAGCAGCAGTTTGAAGCAAGAAGAACACACATTGTGGCCACCATCGATTGTAAATGTGGCCAATCCCCTTTGATACTTAGATTCTTTTACTTTATCCATAAACCATTCAACTCGTTGGTCAAAACTCTTTGTCCAAAATCTGTATCTCATACTTCTCATCATTTTTTCATCGACATGTTTTAAGCAAGTCTGACGGCAATTATTTTTTTTCTTCATGGCCAACGAAATGTCTTTTAATGCTTTTTTTAAAAGGATGGAACTATTCTTTTTCTTGATTGATTTTAGCTTTTTTGTTCTTACATTTTCCTCAAAACTTGCATTGTAAATGCTTATATCACTGATATTTAGGCTTTTGTCTAGATGACTTCCGTTCATCTCATCCTAAAATGAGAACCAAAGTTGGAACCCCTTAATGTACATATTACATAGTTATATAAAGTGTACATTGATTAAATCATATCATAACATAAAATAAAAGTAATTTTACAAGCACAGTAAAACTGTTTTCATTCAACTAAAGAGAATGTTTGTTTCAATATGTAACATCATCATGTAACTTCATTTAACAGCATAACTTTGCATTAAACACAACTGTAACAATTGTACATGTAATACATGTATATTACATTAAAACACACACTAATTTTATGTCCCACTGAGATGACAGATAGGTGCAAAAGTTTTGTCAGTGTGATTACGGTATAAACATAATACATAATAATTTAAATGTTTTATCAGACAGAGGCATTGTTTTTTTTTTTCAATAAACAATATAATTAACAAAGCTGCAGATTGGGCGCTGTGTCATGACTCTTTTTTCTAATTACTCATTGGAAATGCACAACAAACATTAGAAATTTATACATCATTGAAATCTTTATACCAAGGTTGACATAATTCGTTCTCATCTGGTTATGTTAAATAAACAATATCTGATTTGTATATCATTTGCCATAGAAGAACCTGCATTTTATTAATTTTAATAGCATAAATTTTCTTAAGAAAGCTTTAAAAAATATTTCAACTGTTACCTGAATTTTTGGTGAAACTTGATTCAAGTTTAAATTCCTGTGTGCAGACTTGACTTTTTTTGGTGTTGATGTCAGTTGTAAAAAATGCTCCCTCTCATAATGCAAAATATCCTATAAGTTAAATCAATATATAAGTAGACATATGTAAAATGAAAATCATTGAATAGTATCAAATGCTACCTGTTAAACAATAAAACTTAGTGTTTATAACCTTAAGGTGGAAATTTGTTGAAAATATTGCAGCATTCAAAATAATATATAGCTTTATAATATCAAAATTTATTTACATTCTAACACTTTGCTTTCTTACATTTAATTTAGTTTTTTTAAACTCTACAATTATAAAAAAAATCTTAATAATTGAAGGCTTTAAAACCTCACAGTGAGCCAGTCTTTCTTATAGCAAATATCAACGCCAATAAGTATCATGCAGGATACATGTATTTTAATTTTCTTTAAAACTAGGAATCTGGGACTAATACTTATCCACAGTTTTGCAGTTTTACATTGTATTACCTCATTTTCAAAATCAAAAGGATCTTCTTTTTGTTCACTTTGTATACAGCCTGTACCAGGATTTTCTTTTACATGACACTTGAAACATTCAACTGATCCACTGGCATCACTATCTTCAAAACTCATGCTTTTCAATATGTCAGATAGATTTGACTAAAAGAAAAATATTAATACAAACAATTAAAATTGTGTGACTAAAAGATAAATAATTTTGTAGTGTAAAAAACTTATATGTTTAAATCATCACTACATTAAGAAAGAAATCAAAATTTGTTACAAAAATTCAATATCAAATTTAAATAAAAATAAGACTATACATTTTTAACTGGTTTTCTGCCCAGTGTAAAATACTGCAGATTTGGATGAAAAAATATCAACCAAAAATTTCAGTTCACTTAACATGTAATTGTAGACATTATAAAAAGAATAGTGATTTATATTCGAAGGGACTTTTTAATCAACCAGATTTTGATTGAGAAAAAATAAAAAGGAGAGAAAATAAACCATTTCTAGTTGAACTTGAATATCTTTAAAAAGTATACATACAAATAATATCAAGCCAGCAATGCATAAGCATCAAAATAATGACTTTTTTTTTTAAATTACTTGTCTTTTTTATTGCAAGTGTCATTTAACAATTAATTTCCATTGTTTCTTTTCTAAATACAGTTTTAGTTTAAGATACACTTTTAACTGTAATAGATGATCTTAATTTATGTTGTAAAATAAAGGTTGATACAGTGTAATAGATTTTTCTAATGGTAAAGATTGAAAATTACATTGCGCAACTCACCATTGAAATGTCGAATTTTGTCTCATCCTTTTCATTTTGTTTATCAAGATCAATGAAAATAAAAGGCTCATATTTATGATTTTCATCTTCCAACACTGGTAATTCACTCTCTGCTCTGGACTTGTTGACAGATGTAACAACATCATAGTGGTCACCATTCTTGTGATGCAGATAAATTGCTAAATCTGTGTTTTTATTCATTGGTTTAAATTCTAACCAGTCATATATTTTTCCATGTTTTGAATAAACAAAAATCGTACAATTTAAACACTTTGCAGCAAAATAAAGTTCTATGTCAGTCCCCCATACACGATTTTCCCTCATCCGAGTTCTTTTTAAATAATCATCTGGAGTCTCATCACGTACAATAGGATCTTTGCTATTCGCAATAAATGATGTGATTATGTTCCTGAAATACATGTGAAGGTCTTCATTACCACTGACTGAAAGTGCAAGACTTCTGAACAAACAATTCCCATCTCCTTTGATTTTGAAACAAGTAGATGGCTCTCCTAAATAAGAGTTTGGTTCATAAATCAAATCAGCTCTTTCAATAAAAGAAATTCCAAGTTCATTACAAGTTTCTTCTTGCCAGTCTTTGGAAACAGGGGTAAATTTTCTAGGACTGGCCATTATTGAATAGATCCTAAATGAGTGCAAAAAGAATTTTCAACTGTTTAATAGCCATGCACTGTGGTTTGATAAAATCACACATTATGATTGGTCAAATTTACTCAGCACAGCACTGTGATTGGTTGAATTATATAGTTGTTTCACTTAGAAGCATTAGGTTAAAGATCCTCTGCAGAATAAAGCATACGGCCCTGTAGATTAATTATCGAACTTCAAGATGTCCCAAGATACCAATATACCAGAAGAAGAAATTTTCAAAAGTATAGATGCTGACATAATTCAGAAATCATTGAAAGGTATGTTCTACATAACAAATTGTTCACTTAATTAATACAAAACAAAGTATTTCTGAAATTACTGTGATATATGCTTCTTATTGTAGGGAGTCATGTCAAAGTACACATTGATAACCTTATTTCTCCAGTCAATGATCATTGCATTAGATTGCTGAATGAAAATCATGTGAATGAACTGGTTGAGTCATTTACGAAAAACTTCAAGCCTTATACTACATTGGTTGGACTTGTAAATGAGGATTTTACAACTGATGACCTTGCAACACCAGGAAAAAAACATATAGAGGTTCTTGGTGGAAACCACGCAAGAGCGGCATTACAGAAAATTTTAAATTCTGGTGAATGCACTCTTAAAGAACAATATGAGTTTGTTTATATGGATATATACCAAAACTTGACAAAAGATCAGGCTCTGTTTCTTGCATACAAACATAATGAGCTCCATGAACACTCTCAGGAGTTGAGCTTTGCAGAGAAAGTCTGTTTTTTTCATAGACTGTTTCTAAATTGTCAGAGGAATTATGCTGGACAACCCCATAAAACTATATCAACTAAATGGAGATCCGACATTGCAGCAATTATGAACAAATCTGTAAGTACAAAGTTTTTTTTTCTATTTAAAAAGTATACATATGAAAAAAGTGAAGATAATGAACATTGATCAATCTCAAAGATAAACTTCAAGTACAAACAATATAAATCTGTAAACAGGGTAAAAACACCCCCTGGAAATTCCAGAGGTGGGATCAGGTGCCTATATGAGCATGCTTGATTGTGATTGCAAATTGCAAGAATGAAAAAAAAAATGATATTGTCTTTGTTTACCAACCTGTTAATCAATGCATGTCTTACTAATTACCATGTAATATCTGTGTGAGAGGGTGTGTGTATATGTCAGTGATAATACAGTCACGTCCCATTATATGTACGTTTGTGAAGTGAAAACTGAGAATTAAATGGGATGGGGTGGGGAGGGTGGTTCTCTATTAAGTAGCTAATGACCGCTATTGACTAAGATATCTAAATAAAACACTTTTGATTTTTTATGTGCATCAGATGATAGTTCAATTTAGTTTTAAGTCGATATATCCTGGAAAAAGAGGATGTATTTACTTATAAAATATAAAAATTGAAAAAAAGATAAACCGGAGTATAGCTTAATTTTATCAAGAATTTTGCAAAAATAAATAATTTTGCAACTTCAATTATTTTCTTACATATGCGATGGAAACTATTAAGAGACAGGGAATTTTAATAATAAAAAACGGAACAATTCTGAAGAAACACATTAGTTTTTAATAATTTTAAAAGCAGCTTAGAGTTATTGTCAGTTAAATGGACTGAATGAAAGATATCACAACCACATGTGTTAAAATGCACATTATCTTTTAAAACTTTCAAATACAAGTATACATAGTATGATTAAAATGAGAATTAAAAAATTAATCATATAAGAATCCATAAATAATCAAAAAATTCTTCTTTTTTTTTTTTTTTAATAAATTAAGATATATTTTAAGCCTTAATTATCTTAGCTTTGTTCAAGCAAACTTTCTTGCCCCAACTCAAGAATTAATACACTGCTAATTTGTCATTAGTCATTAGTGATTACTTGAACTACAATAGCATAAATTATCTGGTTCACACATGAGGCAAAAAAAGATTTATCAATTGCATATTGGCCAGCCATCGCCAGGATTAGCATAAATTTGGTATAAAGATGATGTTGAAATGTTGCAATGAATTTAAAACAATCAAAATGCTTGCGTAAAATACTTTATAGAACCTGAAAAAAGGATGACACAGATTTGTTTGAGTTCACGAGACAATTGATGTACATTATCACCGTAAAATATTTTTTAAAAAGTTTTGGGCAATATTTAATTGGAATTCCAAACTGATGCTATAATTAAAAACAGGTGACCTCCCAAGGGTCGGGAAGAAATAGAAAACCTAAGAAGAAATAAAATTGTAATGTAGGGCGCTGAAGTCTTACGCTGTTCAAACTGTCAGAAATGTCATATTCCATGAAACAGAATCAAATACAGAGCACCCCCGGTTAGGTCACGCTGTCCAAAGATGAAAGAGAAAATGATCTTTATACACATACGCTAAAGTTACAGTAAAGGGCAATGACCCCCAAAAATTCTATGACTATAATGCCAAACCAATGCTGGAATCAAAAGCAACAGTAGCCAATTCAGTGTGCAAAGGGGCGGAGGGAGGGGGGTGGACTCCCTTAAGTTTGGATATTTAGAGTTATTTAAGTTACGTAGTACATGTAAATGATCTTGGACACCCTAGTAAACATGTATAATTCTTCTAACGCTGGAAGAAATAAGTTAAACTTTATTACAAATTCTCAAGTAATTGAAACTCATGATCTGTAATTGAACATTATTAAATTTACAAGTAATAACTATTATTTCATTAATTTCATGAAAAATTATGTGTAACTCAAGTTACATTTTATTTACTTCGGAATTACATTTTACCCATAGTCTAATCCTTAAAAACTCAAATGTAAAATTCTTGAAAGTAAATCTTGTTTCTCTACACAATTTTTTCATAATTTTATTGGTATATTTTTAAACACTTTTTGAAACAAAACTTAGCAGTAATCACCAGTACAAACACCCAAGTTTAAAGAAAGCAAAACATATGGCAGGTGTTAAAATTCTTATGGCACTTCAATGTCCTCGAAATAATGGTCTAAAAAAAATAAGGCAATGCATCCTATCTCCTGTATACCTGATCATTGCTGAACATATGACATTTGAAACACAAGTTATGATTAGATGCAACAAAAAAAATCTTTATGAGTGATGAATACTATTGATAACTTCATATTCTATTACACAAGTGCATGTAATTTTTTAATAAATTCTAAATTGATGAAATGTACTGTAGATATACATTTTCCCAGTAATTAAATGTAATTTGTTATTAACTACTTTCGGCTTTTTGGCTGAAATTATGTTTAATTTAATTACATCTGTAAATTGTAGTAGTTGAATAATTCGGCCAAATTAATGTAAATTAATTTACAACTTTAGTGTGAAATTGACCCCATCTCTAAAGGAGAAAGTGGCTTGTCAATAAAAATTTGCTCTTCCCCATTTTGGAGGTTTTTCTAATTTGGACAGTTTTTTTTTTATGTGTTCATTTATTTGTTTATATTTTTTGCATGTCAACAAATTACTGAGTAAGATATTTTGAATGGGTGTACTAAACCCACCCCTCAAATATTCCTGGTTCCAAAGGGGGTCTCACAATGGTATGGTATGCCCAGATGGGAAGAAATGGAAACAAGCTCAATAAAATCAAAATGTAGGGCACTGACATTTTATAACATCTTTCAAACGAGCAATAAAGGTATACAAGGAGACAAAATCCAGACACAGAGCACACCAAAGTGAGGTTAGGCTGTCCACAGTAAAAAGGACAATGATCTTTATACACATATTTTGGGCTGAAGAATCTTAAGATGTGCAGGATAGGACAATGACTCAGAAATTCCTCTTTAACTGGAATCCCAAATTATAATCAGGTGACCTCGTGAGGGTCTGGAAGAAATGGAAATTAAACCAGCAAAAATACAAATAAAAAATGTAGGGCACTAGGATTTTACGTTATTCAAACGTGCAATAAAGATATGCAATAAAGATATGCAAGGAAACAGAAACCAGATACAGAGCACACCAAAATGAGGTTAGGCTGCCCACAGATAGAAAGGACATTGATCTTAAAAACCGTGTTGTTGAGGAATCTGAAGAACCAGCATAAGTTAAAGTAAACAAAATTAGCAGGATTGCAGTGCAATTGCAATAAATGCTAATTGAAAAAAATGTGATAGAGAGGCAAATGCTAGAATCTTTTAACTCTTTTTGTTAACCACTCATATACCGTATAAATGGTATATTTGCGGTTGGCCATATTTTGCGGATAGGACAAAATATATTTTTAAAATATTATTAAGATGTATTTTTTGTAAACATCATCATTTATTCCTACATGTAATTGCTATAAGTGGTACGTACGACAGGGCCGTAGTATTTCACCTGATCTAAATTTAGAACTGATAATTTCCTAGTGAAAAAAATATGCTTACTAGGGTATGAAACATTTATTATTGGAACATATTCACAACCCCCCCCCCCAAAAAAAAAAAAACAAAAAAAAAAAAAACAGAAAGATAGAAGAACAGCATAGCATCTTTTCAGATCTGATTCACCCTGAACATGATTAAGTCAGTATTAAAATACCTTAACATTGTAGTGTTGTACCAAATTTAATGGTGGCCCGCGTGGTGCAGTGATTAGAGTGTTTGCTCTTAAGTCACGAAGTAAGGAGTTGATCCTTACGTTGTGGATTCAAATCCCACTGTGAGACGCGGAGAATGAGACCATATAAAGCGAGGTCCATTGTCACTAAAAAATAGGTGCTGAAAAAAAGATCCCTCACTGGACAATGGCCCTGAGTGCGAAGTAGGTCTAAATTTGCAGCCCTACACCAGCGACTGATTGAGTAAAAAAATCTTGAGGGATGTTAAACAAACAAACAAAAAAATGAACTAAAATTAACATTTTATAGTCAGTTCCTTTAAATGTAGTTTTTGCAGCATAATGCAAGCATTATTGTTGCCACAGAAGTTAAAGATATAGAAATTTATTTGCTACAAATCAGAGTCCAAATTACAAAAATTTCCAACCACAGAAAATACCTGTTATACAGTTTTTCAAATAAGATATCAATAATATATATTTCAATTTCGATGATAATGTCTTCTTTATAAATAATTCCAAAACATTTGTAATTTCTCAAATTATATATATATATATATATATATATATATATATATATATATATATATATATATATATATATATATATATATATATATATATATATATATATATATATATATATATATATATATATATATATATATATATATATATATATATATATATATATATATATATATATATATATACTCTTATGATGAATGTCTGATATCAGAGGTCTGATATTCTTTTTGGTATGGTGGGATGGTGGGTAAGTGTAAAACACTAAACAAGAAACTATAAACAACAGAATGATAATCCACTGTCCTTAAAATGTCAACAAAGGAGGATAGTTTGTGCTGTTGCTTTAAATTGTGTTAGAAAACAGATGCTGAGTGCAACGGAAACAAGATTTAACCCCCCCCCCCTTTATTATCCCACCAAATGCACAGAGGAATCAATGAGTTCTTGACAGATTAATTAGATATCGGACAGTTGAATAGCAAACAACTGACTTCTAATTATAAATGACAGATATGACCTCAAATCAAACTCAATTTGTTATATAATAGAAAATAAACATAAAATTAAAATAAAAAATATATACATTTTTCCTTGTTAATAATGTTTTATGATCAGTTGTATATAATGTTTTAATATATTGTGTGCCAAAATATTTCCCAGCATCAAATGTTTCATCTCTTTTTAACAAATGTGTGGATTGAATAACAAGACAATGAACACATTCCTCTTTTAAAGACATTTTCAGCTGACCATGCATATTTATTAACAATTTCTGAAATCTTTTTTGTCAGATCATCACAAAAGTTATCATCAACAAAAAATCCTGTGTAAGATAGCAGTGAGGGTCATAAATCTGACCGTTTCTAGCACAGACTGCCCCTTTCTTCGAATTTTAAGGTCATCAGTTATTTTTTGCATTTTGAATTTAATTACGCATTGCATTTCTTTTTTCTGGTTTTGTAGTGCACACTTGCTGTGTTTAATAAAACAAGATATAAACAAGATATAATAATTTTAAGAAAAGTAAATGTGAGGAATAATTTGGTGTATCTGTTAATCTGACATCTGGGTTTATTAATAAAAAGGCAGTTAACCTGACATAGCCTTTACCAGCTATAAATCTCTGTAATTTCCAAGTGGTGTAACATAATATGCACATCTGCTCAGTGTAAATAACTGACTCTGGAGCTTCCACTTTGTAAGTTAGGGGGTCAGGGGTGTCAATTATTACACATAGCCTTTTTATCATTTCAAATTCTTTATCAAGAACAGATTTTGAGATTCATGGCCCAGCTGAGTCAAACTTTCAGAAAATATTTGCACAAAACAAATATAACAGAGTGTGCCTTGTAATGGAAAAGAATAACTTTGGATTTTTAAGAACACTAAATTAATGATTATTCACCACTTCATGATTATAATGATTGCATTACTGCCCAACTCAAAACTCTGGGGGATCTTCATTAGTTTGCCAACTTATTTTTCCATTTTTTTTTTGTACCGGGGTATTTTATTATGTTTGTAATAATAAATAAATAAAACATTTGTTGAGCGCCCTATTTAATAAAAATTACTCTAAGGCACTTAACAATAAGATTATAGTAAAATAAATGTACAAGATAGTAATTAAAGTTTTAAAAGGAATAAGAAAATGAAAAATGCATCAAAATGGAGAAACAGACAAGAAAAAGAAGAGTTAAATAAAAATAGGGAAATCTGCGCAGTTATTTGCATGAGGCATTTTTTAAAATAATATATAAAAATTATAGGGGTTTACTTCACTTTCTGAAATTTTGTATATTGTTTCGAATTATTTCAAACACATAAATAGAATTTGCTAAATTTGACTAACTTTTTTTTTTAAAAAAGATACCAGTTATTGAAAGGGTTGAGTTGTTAAAGTAAGAACAACATTTTCTTTAGACAAATTTCTATTTCTACCTTAAACACACAAACTGCTATTTTAATTAATAATAAGCTTAAAAAGATCACTGTTATACATTGATTTGTTTTAAATGTACATCTACACAAGTTATTTATAGTATCACATAAATCACAAATCTTTATTTTTACAACACATTTATTCAATAAAATGTTCTTTTACAGAAAATGTATACAGTAAACCAACATTGTGTTTATTTCTTACTTATCCATAGCAGAAATGTTATATCGATGGGTTTTTAGGGTAACAAAAGAATATTTAAAACTTTGAAAAATTTTCTCTTTACAAATGAAACTATTTCCACCCAATTTAAGAATAATTTCGGCCAGGGATTTTTTTTCATCAGGATGATACAACACATAAAACATATATGTTAACATAATAAACATGTTTATTGTATAAGCAGAAAGAGTTTATTTGTTGCAATTAAAGTAATAAAATCTAAATAATACAATTTTTCATTTGTGTTAATATCCCAAGTTTTATTGAAAAATGTCTGTAATTATCTCAATTATGAAGACTTTTCAAACTTGTAGTAGGCATTTAAGATATGTCCACTATTTGTATTCAATATGCACTGGTTTGACTGTAATTTTTCTCTCTCTCATTTCAGAAAACAGATCTCAAAAACTCTTATAAAGTCCATCTTAACTTAGCAGCCAGCGAAAATGACATTTGGGAACTCATTAAAGATGTCTTCAACGCTTTTGAAAATGGTTGCATTAAAGGCCAAAAAAGAGCTGAGCAGTGTTCTCAGTATTGTTTTTGGCATTTTTCTAAAGTCAAAAACAATGAATTGAAAATCTCCTTGCTTACCAGATTTAAAAATGGAGAAATGATGCCGGAGGAATTTCGAAGTGCTTGTCAGAGGTAATTGCCTCACCTGTAATTTTTTTTATTTAATACAGGCATAAGGGACATATTGACAATATTGTTAAACTTGAATTCAATTTTACAGATGTGAAAGAGAGAATGATCAGAGCAAACCAAGTAAACATGAACCCTTCACTAACCGGTAAGAATACTTGCATAATCCATTTTCAAGGCTCAATACCTATAGAAGGGAAATGCAAATGCTTCAGATTTCTTTGATGAACAAACTGAAATTTTTATGCTATATTTTGCATTTTCGTATGGTGCAGAAGGCAAATGCTACCTAAAAAAAGAAAAGCTGCTGATGTCGTGACAGAAAACCAGGACGAATGCACACAGTAAATTTTCGTTTTTATTTATAATACTTCATTTTGTATACAATGATATATGAAGGACTTTTCTTTTTTTTTTAAATTATTTTTTTAAAGCTAAATGATCAAAGTCAATCTTTAAAAATCATGTATAATATTATATGTCAGGTCAAAGAAAAAAAGTGAGAAGGAAACTGGAGTTCAGACAGAAAATGAAAATTTACTCTATGAGAAAGAAGAGGAAATAAAAAGACTTCAACAGCAAATAACACTATTGTCAGAAAAGCTGAAACATGCTGAACAGTCTGTTGAACAACAGAATAATTTTCTAAAAGAAAAGGATAGCAAGATTATTGTAAGCGCTTTCTTTCACTCAGATGCCTTAAAGAAGTTAAATTTTTAAATAATGCAATGTGCAAAATATATTCCATATGGATATTTTAATTAATAATTATTCTCAAATTCAATGAACCTATATTTAAAGGGGGTGGGGGCAAATTAGTTTTTTTTTTTTTTTATAAAAAATTGATTAAAAATACCCCATGAAGTCAATGATCAAAGAAAAGATTTCATTTTTCATTTTCAAGGCCCTGAAGAAGAGTTTACTCGCTATATTAACTAAAGCTGAGGAGCAAAAAGTAACAGAGGCCAATTTGAATGTAAGCTAAAATTCTCTGTGTTTTCTGTGATTTTTATTCTTATTGAATATTGCAATTATTGCATTTTGATTTGCAGAAGACGGTAACTGAATTGCAAGAAAAATTAAAAGATGAAATCCAAAATAAACTGCATGCTGAGGATGCAGCTGCACGTGCCAGACAGAATCTTCAATTGACATCTAGTGGTCATCAAGTAAATTTTTAGTATTCATGTTGTGTTTCAATCAGAATAAAATGTACATATGCATGATTATTTTGCTTGATAGACTTTGCAAATGAAATAAAGCAAGAATAGAGTAGTTTCTACAAAGAACTGAATAAAAGCGAGAACATTTATTTCAAATACTAATTATAGCATGAAAAAAATTATGATTCCTACCGGTACTTTCTTTGCAACAAGACACTATGAAGGCATTTTTTTTTTCAATTATAGAAATGTTTAGAGAAAAATAAGGGTGCTATTTTTGAAGAACGCCCCCAAGAATGCTCAACTAGTGAAAAAAAGGTATTTCCTTTATTTTGATGCCTGTTGTTTTGGTTTTGTGTTTGTAGCAGTGGTGAGGGGGATGACTGCTTAGCATTATAATCATTTAATTAAACTTATTTCATTGAAGGACATTTTATATTCATAAAATTGATGATTAAGCTTTTTAGTGTTTTCCTTACAAACATTGCAGATAAACAAAGGTACCAAGGACAACCAAGATTCAGAAGTAGTTCTTGTTGAGTACACAAAAGGGAAAATCTATTATGCATTAAGGAATAGAACCATCCTGACATACTGCCACAAACATGTCGGAGTAATTCAAGATGATCAATTTTTGCATCGGCCACAAAAGCTATCCTTCAAAATAAATGAGAAGGACCAACAAACTTTTGAAGAAGAGTTTATAATTTTATCAATGAAGGGAGATGTTGAAGAAAAAATGATCAAAATTGACAAGCTTTCAGCATCTATTGATGAGCAATTGATGGCAGTAAACAACTACATCAAGGAAAAATAATATTACAATTTGAATCAAACCTTGGGGAAAATATAGTTACACTAGAGAATATTTTTGTGTGACCACCAGTAAAGATTTTTTTAATGTAATACATGTATAATCCTGACAGTACATGTTCTTTAACAATTTGAAATCATTCGTGCATTTAGTGCAACAATATCAGGAGAAAATGGAAAAATCTTTCTTTTTTTCTTTTTTTTTTTTTGAGAGAGAGTTAATTACACATGTCATTATTCGGTGTTAATAAATTCAAATAAATTCATTCAAGTGAAGCATTTTTTGTTTGCCTTAATAGTAGTCAGAGGCATTTTTCTACCTGCAATATAAAAATGAATAGAACTCAAAGTTCTATGCATGTTTATCACTTATATCATTTCGATTTCTAGATCCATATCGGAGAGAATATCAGAGAGGAAATGTGTAATTTTTAAAACTAGATACTCCTCTACAACATGTAGAATATATACTTCTCAAATTGATATGCACACCAAGATATATTGAATATGTAAGAATGTTCCCCTATGTATTATAATGACTAGAAAGTCCTGCAAATGTTTTGTACACCAAAGTCCAAGGGAAATGGAGGAATGTTCCTCCAGTGTATTGGCATAAGAGATGAAGAAATCTATGTTGGGATTTTACTTGTACCTATCTGAAGTAAATGAATATTTCTCCATGCAAGAATTCTTCATGTAATGATGAAGAATTGTTCTCTATCTTGTGATTGGGAACTTTTTTATAAGCTTGTCAGAATATATCAATAGTAATCAATTTCTTTATCAATTTAAGATTAAGGTGGATAAGTATGTTTCCAAATGAATCAAAAGATGAACTTATCTGTATTATTTATGGTTTTGTATATATTTTACACAAGTAAGTTTAATTATGTAGACCATTTGTATACCAATACCCAGGTGATGTTAGAGGAACTCTCCTCCATTTATTAAGATAAAAAACATTACACCAATTTTAATTGTTGACATGATAAAATGATGGAGTAATTTGCCCCTATGTATTATTTCAAATAGGAATTCCTCCAAATACTTTGTGTATCAAATACCACTGAAAGTGGAGAAACTTTCCTCTGTGTAACATATTGTAGATCAGTGGCCATAGATGAAAAAGGAATGTTTCTCTATGTAATATTTGTAACATACATAAAGATGGAGTAATGTTCCTCTTTGTAACATTTTGTTTATGAGTACCCCTTACATATAGAGGAATGTTCCTTTATGTATAATTTGTAACATACATAAAGATGGAGATGGAATAATTTTTTGTCTGTGTATTAATTTGTACATCAGTATCCCTTACCGATAGAGGAATGCTCCTCTGTGTAACTTTCTTTTATCTGTATCCCTTACATATAGAGCAATGTTCCCCTATGTTTTATTTTGTACTTCATTATCCATTACCGATAAAGTAATATTCCTCTACGTAACATTTTGTTTATCAGTATCCCTTACATATAGAGGAATGTTCCCCTATGTTTTATTTTGTACATCAGTATCAATTACCGATAGAGTAATATTCCTCTATGTAACATTTTGTTTATCAGTATCCCTTACATATAGAGGAATGTTCCCCTATGTTTTATTTTGTACTTCAGTATCCATTTCCAATAGAGAAGTGTTCCTCTATCATATAGAGGAATGTTCCCCTATGTGTTATTTGTAGCATAGATAAAATGGAGTAATTTTTCTCAATATATTATTTTGTACATCAGTATCCTTTACCGAAAGAGGAATGTTCCTCCATGTATTATTTGTAACACACATAAAGATGGAGTAATGTTCCTCTTTGTTTTATTTTGTTTATCAGTATCCATAACCGATAGAAGAATGTTCCCCTATGCATTATTTGTACCAAAGATAAAAATTGAGTTATAATCCCTTTTGTCACATTTGTACATTACTTTGAACCATTGATAGAGGAATATTCCTCCAGGTATATCTGCCGAGGAAAAAAAACATCATGAAGAAGTAAGAATGTTATTTTCAGGTCTATACAATTAAGCAATATAACTATGCATGGACCTACTAGTAATCTAACTCATTTGAGAAAGAATTTTCATTTGACTTCCAACGAATATTTATTATTTGATTATGTTCATTATTTCATTATATAGGATTATTCCTCTAATTCAATGATTACCATTATCATTTTCATTTGAAAACTCTAAAAAGTACTCCTGGATTTTCCTTTTTTATTCTGGAATGCATTAAATGTAACTAATTATGATTAGGTTATAAAATATCTTGAGTACAATGAAACGTGTTTTATCCGACATGCACTGGGAGAAAATAAACATGATGTAAGTTGCACAGTGTAAAGATAATAGAAAATAGTAGAAATGAGAATGAAATTCAATGTCGGAATTCACAGATTGTACAGGTGTCGGAGAAAACAGTTTCCACTGTAATACTTTTTATAATAGAACAATCTTTATCCCAATTATCCGTCAAGGCATCATCATGTGGCAGTGTGGCAGTGTTTGTAAGAACGAAATATTTCTAATTTCAAATTTATTACAACACATATTATGTACAGTTTTAACTGGGTACATTTGGTAAGGAAAATTGATAAAACATTATTGCTTCAGCAAATAGTTAAACCACAAAATCCCCTCAAAACACAATCTTTTACAAGTTTTCTCTCTTGATATATAACATTATCAAAAAAAAAAAAAAAAAATGAATAGAATCCCATGATAAATTTAAAATTGTCTCTTTTATCAGAAATGTTTCATTTGACTGATTGATGATCGTCGTCAATTTGAGGCCTGGTCTCTCAATTTTGAATGTCCATCTGTTGTAAGTAAAAAAAAAAAAAAATAATAAAAGTATTAAATAATGTTTAAGAAAAATAAAAGGATATGTTTTATAAAAAAAAATAATAATAAAAGAATTAAATAATGTTTTATGAAAAAAGTAAAAGAATTTAATAATGTTTCAGAAAAAAAGGGCATGTTTTATATCTCTTACGAATATTCTAATAACCGTTTAAAATGTTCAAGGAAATACCAAATATTAAATACGGGTTTTTAAGATTGAGTGTTGTTTACCTAGTGACGTTTTATTAACATCATGGTCTGCCTCACATTTTCCCCAGTCATTACTGTAGGATACCACGGACTGTTCCAGTCTGCCGGGTACCAGCGACCGTTGAGGAAGGCCTGGTGACAGGCGTTAAACCACCAGCCTCCTCTTATGGTACTGTAAGCAACACAGTTACATCCACACCTGTCATTATCCCTGTCTGGTGTGCTGAATGACATCCCAGACAGGTTGGCCCAAGAATAAGGAGTGTTTAACATACTGTCACCTGTAGAGAAAATACATCACAGAGATCATTGATTGATTCATTTAAGCATTGAATCATTATTTTATGTAAGATTTAGTCTCATAACTGCAACAGTATGTGCAAACGAATTGAGTAACGAGCTTTATCGCTTATATTATTTTACATTTTTTAATATATTCGATCAGTGCATATTATCTATTCAAGATATATTACTAAAGTCAGGTACTCTTCACACAATTGCTCCGACGAAAATAGTTCCATTCATGATCAGTAGATACAAGATTACAACAAATGTTAAGAATAATGATGTATATTTCATACGTTAAAGAAAACAAAATTAACGTAAAAAGATTTTAAGAAAATCACCTTTTCCCCGGAAAAGCAAATAAAAAATTTTCATATTCCTACGCTCGCTGCCTCCTCAGTCTTTTTCCCGAAAATATATAGGTCATACTTCGATTGATAATGATAAATCTTTTCACCAGTTATATTACTGTCATTATTATTGTTAGTTCATTGCCTTATAATTTCTTTTGAATGGATATGTTAATCATTAACTGTGTGTTTTTTTCTCTCTTTTAATGAATAACGGAATGGTTATTATGGTTAAACACCTGCAATCGTAACCTCTCGGCAAAGCAACGTAATGTTCCGAGCTCGTCTGAAAGGATCTTCGCACGTGTGTAGACGACCTAGGCTATTTGGTCTTGCAAGCACAGGTGTGTGCACCGTTTGCTAGAGACGCTTAGATCACGTAGACTGGGTATCAGTATTTGCTACGGAAATGAAGAAGTTTAGAACTATACACCAGTTTCATAAGAAGTGCAGGTTTTTTACTCAAGCCCTAAATTGGGCTAGAGGGGCTGAGTTATCTAAAACGAGACTAGGTCATCGATCTACTCAGTTTAAAAACACGAAAATATACTAAGTTTATCTTCAAAACATCTGTATATTCAAAATCTATATTAAGTGTTAAATGTCGGATTCTATCCTATGACGAAGGAATATTCAGTGATGCTCCATAGCCGCAACCGATCTCGCGCTTTCCTTTGCGTTTAACACCGGCCGTCAATGCATCTCTGGACAAGTTCATTGATTACAAGTTCATTCATTCTAAAAGGTGACATGTTGACCATCATTAACATCTGCCTATACTATGGGTGATAGTAATTTAATAGCACAAAATTAAAAAATAAATTAAAATCTATCCTTGATAGATCTACAGTTTTGCTATTTAAAAAAATGGGCTATCTTTGATAATCCATAACGGTTTGAACTTGATTTGAATTTTTTTTTTTTTTTTTTTTTTTTTTTTTTTTTTTTTTTTTTTACAGAAGATTATATCATTGGAAAGTTAGATGGTACACATGTAGCACAGGCCCATATAGTACGCGGGATTTTTTTTCGGAGCCCCCCCCCCCTTTCACTTTGAAAACGTTGCTACAGGCCTGTAACATGCTATTTGGTTTAAATATTCCTGAAAATGAGTGAGGTGTTAAATACATTTTTAAAATTATACGATTAATTATATTTAGTCTATGTTCTATGTGAAATTAAAACTATTTTTAGCGACTTTGTGATAGTCACTACATGCATCTACATCTAACTTTATATATGAACTTGCAGTTTGTTTCCTAGTACATGCATATTTTATTCAACAAAAGATGTTGAAACTCAGTAGCCTAAATATTTTGTCG